AGCTCGTCGATCGCCCGACGACAAAGAAATCATTGGTGTCAAGTGGGTTTACAAGACAAAGCTCAATGTAGATGGATCAATTCAAAAGCATAAGGCAAGGCTCGTGGCGAAAGGATACTTGCAACAACCAGGTATTGACTATACTGAAACTTTCGCTCCTGTTGCACGCTTTGATACTATTCGGCACTCATAGCCTTAGCAGACAAAAGGAATGGAAGATCTATCAACTAGATGTAAAGTCTGCATTCCTTAATGGATATCTTCAAGAAGAAATATATGTGGAACAACCACAAGGCTTTACCATCAAAGGCCAAGAAGAAAAAGTCCTCAAGCTCAAGAAGGCCCTCTATGGGTTAAAACAAGCACCACGAGCATGGTATAGCAGAATAGACGAATACTTTACCAAGCAAGGATTCGGGAGGAGCATGAGTGAGCCAACGCTCTACATCAAGACCCAAGGTAAGTCCGACACTCTCATTGTCTCTTTGTATGTGGACGATCTAATATATACAGGAACAATGAAAAGATGATTCAAGAATTCAAAGAAGAAATGATGAAGACATTCGAGATGACGGACTTGGGCTTGATGCGCTACTTCCTCGGTATCGAGATCAACCAAAATGAAGGAGTTTTTATCTCACGGAAGAAATATGCCGAGAACCTCCTTAAGAAATTCAAGATGAATAATTGCAAAACAGGTTGCAACACCGCTCGTGACAAACGAGAAACTATTAAAGGAAGATGGAGCGAGAAAAGCCGACGCCACCCTCTGAAGTCGATTGGTAGTCTATTATATCTCAACTCGCTACACGACCGGACATCATATACGCAACAAGTCTACTATCACGATTCATGCGAGTCCGAGTCAAATTCACTTTGGAGCGCCAAGAGAATTTTAAGATACATACGAGGAACGACAGATTATGGCATTTGGTATCGGCCAAGTTCAACCGCTAAGCTCGTTGGCTACAGGTGCATGGGATCTAGGCGGGATCAACGACGATAGGAGGAGCACCACGGCTATGCATTCACCCGGCTCAGGAATATTCTCTTGGGCATCTAAAAACAAGACTCATGGCACAATCCATCGCGAAGCTGAATATATCGCGGCTCACTACGACTACTAGTCAAGCAATATGGCTTCGAAGAATTCTAGAAGACATTGGAGAAGCACAAACGGAATCAACTCCAATATTTTGCGACAACAAGTCTGCAGATCGCCATATCAAAAATCCTGTCTTCCATGGAAGAACCAAACACATAGACATCAAATATCACTTCATCCGTGAAGTGCAATATAATGGAGAGATCGAGCTCAAATATTGCAAGACCGAAGATCAAGTCGCGGACATATTCACTAAAGCACTACCGCTGGTCAAGTTCGAGATGTTAAGAAGCATGCTTGGAGTTTCTCGAAATTGGATCAAGGAGGAGTGTTGAAATAGTGATCCAATTTCTAGAAGTTTCTAGTATGCTCAAGATTTTTGGAAAATAGATATTTAAATGAATAATCTAGAAAGTTGTGAGAAATATCTAAGATATTTCTAGAAAAGTTTCTAGAAAAATCTTTGATATTTCTAGAAGGTTAATGAGACATGTGTAGAAAATTCTAGAAAAATATCTATGTAACATGCTATAGATTTTTCCTTAGTGGCGGTGGAAGAGGGCTATAAATAGCCAACCCCTCTCCACTTGAAGAATACACACCTATCAGAAGAAAAAAACTAAGTCCCTTGTACAAAGCCTTCATAATACAATACTTTTTGTCTTCTTTGTTTCCTACTTGTCTTCCACTATCAAAAGTTTTGTTCTACTGTTGCTTCAAGTCCACGTACCAACACTTGTACTCACTAAATCACTCACTCACTTACAAAACAAATCACGCTTCCGCAATTACTAACAATATCGAAGAAGAATTTTAATATGCTAGTCAAACCTAACCTGAGGAAATTGAAGAAACATCTGTTGCTTAATAAGATCATACAAATAAAATGAACAAATTCTTAAAAGGAAGGAGAGAGCAGGGGTAAACTCGTCGCCCCGAGCTAATCAAACCACCCTTCTGTACGACTGCTTTTGCTCACAAAAGGGTGACGGAGAAGGTCATCGACTGTCCCTCTAGCCCTCCAATCCTTCTCCAGACACCTACTAACAAAACTCTTGAACTCTGGTGATGCCGTTTCAGGAATCTCCAGCCTATCCGAAAAGCAAATAGCACACATTAGAGTTGCCCAATCTGGTGTCTGTCCTGGACTTATCAAGGGATAATGACCCACGTGGCATTCTAGTAAGACAATTCCTAGAGACCAAACATCCCCTGCAAATCCTTCTTCTTTATCACCGTCCCACCTCTCTGGATCAAATCTCTCAGGACTCATATAAGCACATGTCCCTAAATAAGAAACATGAGGGTTACAAGTACTAGCTACAACCTGACTCACACCAAAATCTGCAATTTTCAACTCGCCTTTACTGTTTATGAGCAAGTTTGATGGCTTAATATCCCTATGCACTATTTTCATCGTATGCAAATAGCATAGCCCTTCCAAAACTCGTCTCGCCACCCTAGAAATCACCTGTTCTGGCAATTTTCTATGGATACATAATATATCTTGCAGAGACCCTCCTTCCATGTACTCCATTAGGAAGTATAGTTCCCCTGCATTATCCGAGTCGATGCACCCGCTGTTCAGAACTGCATGACATTTCACGATCAGTGGCGAGTCTACTCGTTTGAGAATTTCCGCTTCTTGTCCTGCCTGTTGCCACACATCTGTTGTGTGCTGATCGACACGAAGGACCTTCAGAGCATAAATTGAAGCTGTTTGACGATGCCGGACTTTATAGATAGTAGCTCCATTGCCGTGGCCTAGGACCTCCAATTTCTCTAACTTAGAGAAGTTTTCAACATCAGGAGACTGTGGTTGGATCGTGAAAGACAATGCTGGTAACTTGGCCGGTCGCCAAAGATCAGCTGCTGGTATTTGAGGAGGCAGGGATAGCTTCAATGCTTGTTGGTGCCTTCTTTCTCTTACCAATGTCATTTACACACCAAGAAGAGTTTTTCTTCTGTCTATTATGTGAAGAATGAAGTTGATGGGTTTATAAACATGGGTTGAGACATGTACGTGGTTGTTTTCCAACAACAAAGATCTGACAAGTGGCTGTAGCTATCCCTGAATTCAAGGGCAGGTGAGCATTTTGTGGTGATGTCAGTGCCTTTTCGTCTGGCTATGAGTGCAATTAGTTTTGGGGAGTTTTCACGGTGCGCAACGTGGAGTTTTGGCTGCTTGTGTTTCCTGATAACAGAGTTGCCAATTTTCATGGATGTCGTTAAACACGTGCATCTACTCTCCTTCATTCCCTTTTTGTTTTCCCCTGTAGGTTATGTATGGCCAATTATAATGCACAAGCACGTCAGTCTTATTTCTCGTGAGGAAGAGCTTAAGCGAATAGCTCTCTCCTACTTTTCAGAATCGATATCTGACATATATGTTTCTTAACCTAATGTCTAATGCAAAATCAAGCTGAATCGTAACAAATTGTGACTGTTAATCCTTCAAATGGAAATCCTAAGGAAGAACACCATTCCAGCATTCGTGGGCAAGGTTGATAAAGGACGGAAAAGAAATCTCAAAATTCCCGAAGGCGGTCTGTGCAGAGAACTCCGATGCTATATCTAGAGTTTCTTGTTGTATATTATATGGACGATTCGAACAATTAAGTTGATGGAAATTTTAGTTAAAGACTTGATTTGTTATCTCATGTTTGTTATTCGCGAAAAAAATACCAATCGAAGTAGAGGTCTCTTATTATTATTATTATTTTATGCAGTGGATACAAATATCAATATAGTAGCCTTTTGTGCTATGTATTCCTGTTAGAATACTTTGGTTGTAATTAGTCAGAATTTTCGTTATTCAATTTAGAGCTCTAATGATTGAATGCCACCACCATCATCATCGGTTATTGTTCTTGTCATCGTCAAACCTCAACCGGCACTCTTATCTTCTTTCCCTCTTTTTTTTTTCAATGAAAGTTCCGCGTGCTCAAGTTCTGTATCTTATAGAGCTTCGGATTGGGTATTTTGGGGTTTATGAATTCTTGTCCCATATCGGCAAAAAGGAACGAAATAGTCTCTATAAGTATTATAATTTGAGCGATTGATGCAATTCGGCCACTGAATGTTGTGAACGTGGCCCAGCTTAACGTTGGGTTATGGGCTCGGGATAGTACTTTTGAGCGCGAGAGTTCCATTGCACTGTCGGTGCGATGAGGCAGAGACGGACTCTCGTCCCCGAGTTACATTGACCGACCAACACAGTCATTCACTTTGCCCTACATCATATCGGCAAACCGGACGGGGCTACCTGTTTTTGTCACTCCATAAGGTTATAATTACTGGAGTACGAAAACGAAAAGAAAATCCCACCTTTGCTTGTTTCTATTGGTACTCGACTACTTACGCACATACGTCTCCATTTGCCTTCAGACATGCGCCAAATGTCTGTTTCTATGACTTGGTCGGTGTTTTTCAATAATTGGATTTAGAATTCTAGGACATGGAGTATTCAGCCGCATTAAGGTACGTGGAAGAAACAACAGAACATGTAGTCGAAGTTACATTAACATAAAGCACGCACGTCTTGCAAGTCAATGAAACGTGTTCCTTCGAAAGGGGTGTACAGCTTTGTACGAGTAATCGCATGGGTACAGGGTAAGCCACCGGAACTTATTGACTTCTCGGAAACCTTTACAAAAAAGATTGGCAGAATTAAGAATCCGATTCTCAGAATAGAAACTCAGGCGGAAGTAGCCCGACGCTTCATCATTGAGTGATAAACATTTCATTCTCCAAGCCGTTCTGAGTTTTCTCGGAATGGAGATCCGGCCACAAATTGAGGCCATTTCATTTCGAGGATCGGAAAGGATTCTATCAAAAAGGTTTTGCATACATGGGAAGATTCTTTTGAGGTGGGAGGGGTGAAGGAAGATGAGCATTTGTAAGCAACGATCGCTGACAACTCGACCATAATGAAGCACCACTGTTTTGGTGGTAAACAGCAGAACAGGTGATTGAGAGTATGTGAAATGATGCACAATGTTCCATACAGAACCAAATCACAGAATCAGACCTCGAACAGGCTCATGCTTCGATGGCTTCTGCTCGGCCGAAGCAGAAGCCTTTGGAGACTCCGATAGATGAATTTGAGCAAAGTCATCCACTACTTTTCTCTTCTGTTCCTCTTCGGCCATTCCCACTTTCTCCTTTGTCTTCTGGCCGACATCGCCAGCTGCTTTTGCAACTTTGTTAAAAGCACCTGTTACCCACGACGCCCCCGTGAACACATAACGGTTCTTCATAATGGCTGATCCAGCACTGCTAACCTTTTGCTCTGCCGCTGCAAATGCTGACTTGGTTTTCTCAGAAACTTGAAACTTTTGATCCACTTCCCTGACCTTGTCGCCCACAACCGTGGTACCCACAGTGATTTTCTCGGTCAGTCCAATCTTCTTATCGAAGGAAGCGACTTTTGATGAGGCTGTCGATGTCAACTGATGCTTCTCATCAAGGGACTTGGCTTTGTTCACTGCATCTTTGCCTAATATGAAGCCCTTAGCCAGCATGCCGGTAACTACATCCTCTGCTTTTCGCAAAGCAGATTCACCACCAGCTGGACTTTTGTTTTCTGTTACCTGCAAGAAGAGCAATAATCATGTTCATTATGGTAGTAAGAGATATTACGCGACAGGAGTCAGGAGACTCAGGACTCTTACGGGCGGTGCTATAGCATCAGGAGGCAGCTTGTAATCTGGAGCGAGAGCAATGCTGACAGACATATCAACAATTGTTGCACCCTGACATTCAAAGGAGTTCAAAGTGAACCTTGCTGCTGAGATGCATTAATAACAAGTAATTGATTTAAACTGTTATATCTGTCTCGTTATCTAATGAAATGTGACTACTAGGCAAAAGAATCCATAAGTTACAAATAAGAAAGACCATGTATAAAGGGAGATTTCCCCTTCATGCACATTCATAAATATGCCATGTGAAAGAAAATGGTTACCTAGAGCTAATGATGAAGGACATTATTGGACAAAAACTAACCACATTACCAACAAATATGTTCTGCTAGAGTATAATGGAAGCCCCTAGCGTAGATGAGCCCATTCTAAGTATTATCCTCCATCTTCTGTTAGCTCACAAGGATGTTAGTTCATCATGCAAGCTAGATTATAATGCAAGGTGTATAGGTGATTCCTGTCTAAAATGCATCAGCTGATCAATCAAAAGCACCAATACAAGGACAAGCAAAACCAAAGAAAAAGAAACATAAATAATAGCTCAGGGAAGCCTCAAAGCATCACTTCGTTGCTGCAACAATACTAGACATAAATTCTTGATGATAATTAAGCTAATTGAATGCTTTTCATAGCATAGGGATTTTCCTTCTTCCAAACTAATGACTTTGCGCATGCAAAGATCTCAAACAAATAGGAGGACAAAATCAAATGATGTGAGTACGACAAGCTGTATTACCGAAAGCAGAATGGCAGTCTCTGCTCCTTGAGAATCCTTGAACGTGACATATGCAATTTGAGACCGCTCAGTGTCACTGTGTAATTAGATGAAGAAAAACATAAGAAAAGTAACTGTGAAACAAAACAACTAAGCGAGCAAAGGAGTAGACTCAACCTGTGCATCTCAACATATGCGATATCACCGGAAAATGAAAAGAACTCCTTGAGGTCCCTCTCTGTTGCTCCTAGGGAGACATTGCTAACCTTAACAGTTGTTAGCTGCAAGGACACTCAAATGATAGTGAGAATTATACCCATATACCAATCACAATTTAATGAGAATAAAAGATAACAACAAAGAAAGCTGATGGCAAAAGGGAGCTAAAGGGGGTTTAAAGCCATTCCGAGAGCTACAACATGAATTGCTGAGCCGAAGAGCTCTCCTTAGTAAGACTTGCACATCTTTTTTGTCCAATATCTTGCTGAATGATATGTTCTTTTTGTGGTAAGTTTTGGAGGCAATTATGCGAGATTTTAAACAAGAAAGCAAATAACATATGCTAACGGTAGGCATTCAAATGCTTCCAATCTTTCACACTCCCACATTCCCATTGACTGGACTGATCCGAGATCTTCTCAAATCAAAGCAAAGGGCTCTCGGGCTAATCTGTCGCTACTGAAGAATTATTTCACTTGGATTCCCAATGAAAGACATCAGGACTACATGAATGCTCACCGGCATCCGGCAGAGGCCTTCGTCAACATGTTGAGAACGGGGCAAAAAGAAACCGCGATACAACATGTCTAAATCCATGAACTTTTCAAAATAATTGGTCGCTGCGATCAAACATCAGAGAGCGAACTGCATACACAGATTGAGAGCCACTCAAGCTAACCAAAGGCTTGCGAGTGAGTTTCCATCAAGCAGCATTCAAGAGTGCCCCCGAACACGGAAGCTCCACCTCCACGGAGATCGCACACTTGACAGGAACAAAACGATCCTCATTGTCACCGCAAACTCTCCTCGGACGCACCCACACTCACCAAGCATTCAGGAAACAATTCACGAGGTCAGACCAAGCTACAGCGTTCGAATTCAAAAGCCAGCATCGTCCGATCAGGGTGAAGAAAAAAGAGGCCCGTACGCTCGCAAAACACCAATCCCCCTGCACCGACCGCATCAAATCCGGAATCCCCATAGAAACCGAAGCAGATCTACGCACGATAGCTTCAGAAAAACGAGCTCCGCTCGAGCAGGTTGTGAAGGAAAGAACGGACACGCGCTAAGTTCCTGATTATCCGCGAAGACTTCCACCGATCGTGCTACAGCGAAGCATGAGGGAAGAGTAGAGCCGGAAATCGAGGACTCACCGACATGGCAATGGCTATTCTTTCTCCGGTCGTCGCCGTCGCCGTCGCCGTCGTCTTCTTCCTCGTCTTCGAAATGAGAGCTGAGCTTGTGAGAGAGAGAGAGATTTATACAGCGTACGCGCAGGAGGAAAGACGAGGCCCCTCCCCGGGAGGCGCGTATGAAGATCGCGCGTGGGAGGGCGAGATCTGGCCCGCCGGCAGCCATCGCACGTGCGGGAATCCGACGGTGGAGGGCGCTGGAGTGGTGGGGCCCTTTTGCTCAATCACGCGGGGGACTTTTCCCACCCTCGGACATGGTGTTGTCGGGTCCCACTTCCTCGAGGCGGGACATCAAATTCCTTGACACGCTCTCGTCGTGGGGTCAATGCCTTGAATTTGAAATCTAGAACATCTTCCCACTCCTTACATTCGAAGTTGTTGCATTAATTTGATTAAAAAAAAGTAATTGGATTAATTAGGGAAAATTGCACCAAAGGTCCTTAGTCATTTGAAGAGATACAATTAAGTCGTGCACATTTTAGATCCCAGTGTAATCAAGCCTTTTCGATGGTTGCTTAGCCAATTTCGTCATCGCGGCATGCTAGAATTTCAATGTAGAGTTTCTTAACATTTTTGAGCATGTGTGACGCCGACATATAAAAAAAAAGAGTAAAAGAAAGCCAAATAAGCTAAATATTTTTAAAGAAATAAACCAAAAGTTAAAGAAAATGAGATAAATACACAAAAAGTCATAATACTTGTCGAGAAAGTGGAATCAAATCGTAAAATTTGTAACATTAATGCAATTAAGTTTCTCAGATAGATTCGTTTAAATTGATGGACGAAAAATGATGACATGACTTTATTTATTAATTTCTCTTTTTTGTGCGGCCGTTTTCTTAACTGATTCGATCATGGGATTTAAAAGATGTCGTTTCTTCCCCTTTTAACCCTTCAAAACTATAAAGCTCTATTATTGCTAGCCTCAAATTGAATTGCAATCTCTAATTTTGGCCCGAGGAACCCTAATCCCAAATTGAAGAATGGCAACCAAAAGAATGAGGCCGTCAATGTTTGAATCAATTGGGGTAACTCCTAATGAGGTTGACTTGGAGCTAACCAGCTATTGTGGTCTTTGATTACCAATTCTCATGGCAAAGTCAAGGAAAAACATAATATGAAGGTTCCATGATTGTGCTAAGTTCGATGGGCAGGCTGCTGGGATTTCTTTATGTAAGTTGATATGAAGATACCAAATCGAGCAAGGGGACATATATAATAGTCAACCTCCTTGAAAGGAATCAAACACCGAGTGAATAAAGCTGGTCAAGATCCACACGAGCTCACTGCTAGCCAAAATCAGGCCTCAAAGGGCAAAGCGGAGACATTGAAAGGAGGAGCTCAAACGAGCGAAAATAGAGATGTATCAATTGGTAATCGTTTTGCGCATATGTTGTGTCGTTGTGCTGACGTTAGAATTGGTGGGAAGTTTATAAGTCTTTCATAGTTCTCTGTTTGTGTTATGGTGATTTGGGGAATATGATTGAGATATGTTTTTTTAAGGGGTAAGTGAATTAGTGAAGTTTTGATGTGAATCTGGGCACTCATGTCTAAGATCAGATGGATGAATCATGTAGGTTTTCATTTTGAACATGTAATGTCCATTTTTGGATGTCATGCAGTTTTTCATTTCAATACCAATGTGTTGAATAAGCATCAAATTTGAAGGACCATCAATCGCCAATGATGCTGCATCAATAGATAATGACCAAAGAGTGCACCCATTTGCACAAAAAGTACTCCATCCATTAACATCAAATAGAGTAATTACATAGATTAAGTTGCTTCGTGTTCAGTAGAAAAAACCACCTACATCAGTCCAAGTCTTTGGCTGCTATCTCTGGTGATCTTGTAAATTTGGCATTCACTTGATTCATAAGTCTTAAGCTTTTCCTTGTAGCTTGTCCCTTTCCCACGATTTTTTCTTTTGCTAGCAGCGGCACCGTTCTTTAGAGAGGGAGTTCTAGCATTAGATGATTGAGGTTGTGACCTAGCCTGAGAGTTTGGATTTGATGGTGGTCGTTCTTTGTGACGATGCATTTGCCTTCGAAGCTCTTGAAACTACTAATTTTTTCCGGCACCCTCAACAATCTTGCATCAGCTGTTCCAAGTTACACGACAATGAACACGTTTTTAGCTCAATTTGATAGTAAGATGCAATTACGAAATGTTAAAATGTTACTTACGTTAAGAATTTGAAGGTTTGTCCTAAGGTTCGGGGAAACATCCCTTGCCACCGTTTTGTTCTTCTTCGGCCGCGATCGCGGATGACCATTTTTTAGTGCAACTCTCCTAAATCGAAAAAAACGGTGGACATAAGAATCAAATGATAATACCCAAATGCATGGGGATTGGGGTATTACTCACTGGGATTTTCTAAAGTCTCCCTTGAGCAGTTGCTTTGGCTTGATTACAACAACTGATCAATCGTGGCTTGATCCTCTTACATGTGCACTAGTTTGAGCAACAGCAGTGGTTTGGCCACTAAAAGTCCTTCTACAGTTGCACTGGCCTCTGCAAAAGCATTGGCCCGGCCATCGGATCGGATCCTCCTTGCGCTATATTTGCCATTAAATCGGAACCTCGAGATATAAAAATGACATTACATGGTTTTAACGCAACTTACTTGTTCTATTTCTTTTTTAAAATTTTTGTCTTGATCCATACGAATTGGCCCGAGTTGCACTGGCCTTGGCACTGGCCCGCTCGGTTGACTAATAGATGTTTCCATGTGGTAAGTCACTAGCTCGTTGGAAAGTTACATTATTTATCTGAAATTACTCTTTGACATTTAAGTTATCAGCTAGCTTAAAAATTACTGTGTATTAAGTGGAAGAAGGGAGTCAGCTATACTATCACCTTTTGACAGACAAGAAAAGAAATTTTCACGAGGAGTAAAAATAAGAAGGAAAAAAAAAAGAAGCGAAATTCCAAAGGTTAAAAGCAAAAGATAAAAATGAAAACCATTTCATTATAAAGGACAAATTTGACTTGCAATTCGCTAACCGACTTCTTCGGTGGAGAGAAGAAGTTCAAAGCAAAAGACAAAGACAAAGACAAGGCGAGGCAAAGGCAGGCGCGGTCACGTTGGACCGAGCCCCAAAACGACGCACCGTTGACGTGCCGGTGAAGGCAGTTAGACTAAAGGTAACAACAACCCCAGCGCGGCAACTTATCGGGAAACCCACCGCCAGACGCCAGTCAAACAAAGCCTTCTCCATTTTCTCTCTCCTACCCCCCTCGTACTCCCAAACGCCGTCTCCAATCTCTCTCTCTCCTTCCGTCGTCCTCCGATCCCTCCGATCGATTCGCACCGCCGTAATCGCACCCCCGATTCCGCGCGAAGCACCGCCGCCGCCGCCGCCCCCCTCGTCGCCGTCCTCGTCGTCGTGGTCTCTGTCTCTCTCTCGCGGGGAGAGAGTTAGGTCAAATCGGGAGAGATGAGCTTTCAGGATTTGGAAGCCGGGAGGCGCGATCTCATCAGCGGCAAGCAGGACCCGACGCAGGCCGTCGCGTCCGGCGTGTTCCAGATCAACACCGCCGTCAGCGCGTTCCGGCGGCAGGTCAATGCTCTCGGGACCCCCAAGGACACGGCCGAGCTCCGGGAGAAGCTGTGAGTGCTTTCGATTCATCGTTTGTAGGGATTCAATTCGAGGTTTCGAGCTGCATGGTGGCCGAATTTCTTGGATATATGGTTGTACGGATTGATGTACGCCGGTTGAACTCTCGGGGACTTGTTGTTCGGTTTGAATCGTATAATTAGGGTCGGATATAGAAATCGGGGGAATTGTAGGTCGTTTTGGTTTGGCTTGATTGCTTTCTTGTAATCCGGAGTTATGCATCGGGAAATTGGTTGTTGATGGACTTTAATGTAGTTTGCCTTTTGAGTTTATGTGACCTTGTTGTAATGTGAGCTCCAGAAGAGGTAATTCGTGGAGAGCATGCTCATTTTGTGCACTTATCAGTCTATGGTCTAGAGAGAATTGCTGTCATAACTGGAATTAGCATCCTTCAAACTACTAACTAGACTTTGGGACTAATATATGGCTGACACAGGAGTCATGGTATGTCTAGTGACGGTCACAAAATGGTTCTCATCTCTCACACTCATTATGGCTCGAACACTGTACCTTTTCAGAACCTTGTAATTATGAATATGCATGTATTTGATGTCAGAATCGGGTCATCTTTTTGCTGGAGGTCTTTGTTACCTCAAAATGATATTTTGATCATGCTAGGCCTGTCCTAATCATCCTCAAGAGTCTAGACTTTTACATGAATATACTTAAATATTGTCTGTCTCCCTAACCCCTTGTTTGCTACAGGCACAAGACAAGGCTATATATTGGGAACCTGGTGAAGGATACTTCAGAAAGACTTAAACAAGCCAGTGAGACAGATCATCAGGCTGGTGTTAGTGTAAGTTAACTCTCTTAATAACCACCCTATTGCTAATATAGAAAAAAAAAAGTTCTCATTTGGGATTAATAAATCGGTTAATTTGTCAAATGATGGTCGATTGTCTCTTTCCCTTCGATGTAGCCTAGGTGACAATAAAGAGGTATAGAATTATGAACTTAAAACTTTAGAATGCAATGTGATAGAGTCTGTCTTGTATTGTAATGACAAAAAGAGGATGCATACTTGCGTCATGGTAAGAGCTACCTTTTCGTCTTTGAAAATTGTCAACTCATTAAGGGTTTTATCAACAAATCCTCATCTTGATATTTCAAGTAGCTGGATGGCATTGGTGTATCAAAATGACTCGCAAACTAGCTTCCGATGATGGTTCATTTTTTAATATTACTAATTCTCTTGGTGACATATCATTAAACCATATTGCATTGTGAAGTCAGTATGATAATGGAAAAAAAAAATTTGGGACCACAGCTATACATTTTTTGGACAAACCAATTCATGTATCCGTTAATCATTTAGTAGAGTACTTAAAGTGCCTATCCCCATTGAAAGGGTGGCTTAAGCCTGATGTGGAACAATCTGTGTCCTCCTTTCTAACCTTTGGCTTCTTTACTTATAGATGTTTGAAGTTTCCTGATTCCGTTTCATGTACATTCCCTTCAGATTTTCTGTTTTCTCTGGTGTCGATTCTCGAGTCTTGACCTTTTTTTTTTGTTTGCAGCCTGCCAAGAAGATTGCAGATGCCAAACTTGCAAAAGATTTTCAGGCTGTTCTGAAAGAGTTTCAGAAGGCCCAACGGCTTGCAGCTGAGAAGGAAACGGCATACGCTCCATCTGTACCGCAGACTGTTCTTTCTTCTAGGTAATGGCTGTAGAATGCGAAGCTAATTTTATGATGTTGATTTTCTTCATTCCACCCAATCCAGGGTCAAACTGACTGGATTGGGAATGTAGATGAGTTATTGGCCTGATAAGTAATTGTTGTTTCAATAGAAACTGAGAGTATGTTCAGCAGGCTGAGAGGTATTGCGTGCTAAGAATTCTGTTTTACATTGGTGCATGTATGCTTGTTTACCTTCAGTGGTTGATCTGTGTTATATGTTTGTTCATTCTTAACCAGCTATTCTGCCAGTGACCAAGACATAAATGCTGATAAGAGTTCAGAACAGCGTGTTCTCCTTGTCGAATCAAGGAGGTAAGGAAAGCATCGCTTTTTCGTTAGTATTTGTTCTCTTCAATAAATCTGTGCTTTCCCACAACTATGGCCTTTTCTAGTATGCAAAATCTTCTCCAAATGTTGTTTTAGCTGAGAAGTTAAAACCTGTTCTAAGTATCTCTTTTCCCCAGACAGAAAAGGTTCATAGGAGAACCTCTGGAAGCCCTTAGATCATGTCATGTTGTACAATTTCTATCTAATTCACAGGATGCCAGTGTCCAGAAAACTTCATACCTAAAATGAGTTTTCTTAACATCACTATGCATGTATAATAAGTATTCAGTTTTCCCACAAGCTATACTTCTCTTGTGGGGTAGCCAAGTTTGTGTTGCTTCCATAGCTTCTACTATGGCTTCAAATATTTAAGGTGTTGGTGTTGTGTAATGGCTGTAGATGTGGGTTGTTCAAGGTGGGTGAAGACCATTTGGAAGTATCTGGCAGAATTTTATTCAACATCCAAAATGACAAATTATTATCTATTATTCTGAATATCCCTATACGGTCTTAGATATGCACATCATGCATGAGTCAGCTGGTTGTGTAACTTCCGTATTGTCAACGTTAAGCCGAATTTTATTGCAGAGAACAAGTATTGCTGGCCGAAAATGAGATTGCCTTCAATGAAGCTATCATTGAGGAAAGGGACCAAGGAATCCAGGAAATCCAGCAGCAAATTGGTGAGGTGAACGAAATTTTTAAAGATCTCGCAGTGCTTGTTCATGAACAAGGGACAATGATTGGTAAGTTATTGTATCCATATCTAGTCCGTTTCCTTCTACTAGTTTTTGGGGCTTGTATTCTATAATTGACACTAATATGCTGTGCAGATGATATTGGCTCTCATATTGAAAGCGCACATGCATCCACTGCTCAAGGAAAGTCCCATTTGGTGAAAGCTGCAAAGACTCAAAAATCAAATTCATCTATGGTATATTCTGGAAAAATAAGACTTCTCCACAATTTATTTGCAACTATTTCCTGTTCAGAAAATCGCATATCTCTTGTGCCATGAGCAACGTCATTTTTGTTTGAGCAATTTTTTTATGTTTCACGCACAGTATAGTAGTCTGAATGTTGTAGCCTCGTTTTTAGCTTGCTTCAATTTCTGGGCTTGTTTTTAAGTTTCATGACAAAGACTACCTTTACTCTTGAGGAGGAATCAATACAGTCATACCTCTCTGCTCTCCTTTTTTGGCTGGTTATTTAGTGCATCCCATATTTGCATTGGACTTAAAGTAAAAGAAAAAACAGAAGAAATGACACCAACACAAGTTCAGCGGCATTACAATGCAATGTGCTTCTATATTGAGATCATTATGCTTGTTTTATGCAGAGTTGTTTGCTTTTGGTGATCTTCGGGGTAGCCCTTCTCATTGTGGTCATAGTAGTTGCAGCTTAAGCAGTAGAATAATCAAGCATCAATGGAGACTGCTCGTCTGAGTGAATGGTACAATGGGGTCAGCCTGATTAACCACCCTTCTTTGTTCTTTCACTGTAAAAACTGGTCGACAGGAGTCTGCTATATGAAAAAAATGGGAGTGAACAATTTATATTTTTTCCTCTACTGGGGAAGAATAATAGTGGGGAGGAAAGTAGAGAGAGGAGGCCAGACGGTGGCTTTCCCGGTTGGCTGGTGAAGTTCCTGTTTACATACCCATCTGGGGTTGTTATTTGGCCTTTCAAGGTTTGTGACACCACTGTCATGTAAAGCTGCTCTCATTGTTCTCAATAATAGCCTCTGCGATTCTTTTAATTATCTTTCCAGAGGATTCATCTGGATTTCGACATTGATCTTGATCTTGCATAATATAGCTATATCGATGTTATATATGTAGCATTTTTTCCATGATTCTAAAATGCATTCGGCGACACCTTGAGTTGTTGGCTGAAAAAGCTGCTGGAAGGTACTTCAGTTGCAAGCCTGAGTGGTTAAACACCTTATCGAAGGTTGAGCAAAGGCCAGCGGAGAGTGTTTAATAAAAGGAATAACATCACCAGTGTTATTACTGATTCTTTTTTGTTTTTGGGGTTCGGAAGCATCCCTGTACTTTAAAAAAGCGTCACCGGTCCTCCCTCCGTTGGTTCAATGACGGGTTTTTTCTGATTCTTTTCAAGATCACAAAAGAAAAGAAATAGAAGTTACCATACCAAACGTTCATGAGAACGATTTGGATTGCTGATTTTTTCATCAACAAAAAGCGCATGCGACATAGACCGCTAAATGAGCTGAATGAAAAGAATAAAAATAAAACGTGGGTAACTTGAAGCTGAAAAGGGAATCTAAACTACTCCTTGAAGTATTCATGTCATGTTTGGAGGACAACCCCGTAGAACGAAATTCCAAATTTGCAGTCACGGCGTGTCTTGAACAGCAACTCAACAACAACCTATGAAAAAACAAGCCACAATTCACGTTGGAATAAAGGAAACTTAGCATGTTCTCATTGAATCGAGAAACTAATCACACACAAATAAAAACAAAGCACCGACAGTTCGGATTAAGTGATGGAAATTAGCATGTTCTCAACGAGCAATTATCTCCCTTCTTCAATCATTAAAATACAAAGGTAGTAGTTGGAGCGAAAGCTCAAGGCATGTTCTAAACTAATCCCTCGTCCTAATTCCATTATTAGTACCTGATTATTTGTCGACCTCTTCTGTAGGCAACATACTTATGTTACTTCTGCAGATATTTCGATATATAGCATTAAGGTGAAGATGATTTAGCTATCAACAACATAGAGAAGCTTCCCCACCTCTCGGTTCGGGGGAAGAAGCATTTCAGGTTTTGACGAAGAAAAAGGGGGGTGACGCTAGCTCAGAACTCCAGACGATCTGCAGTTTGTCGAGATTGAATCTGCCAGGACGAATGGCCGATCATGTGACCACCCATGGATCTTTGCAGACGGCCGTACATCAGTCAGCCGACGTCGTTTCTAATTATCAACACTATGTGCATTACATAGGAACCTCGGAGGACACCCCCATGTTCCGTGAAAAACTGTGAGTCCGCCTAGTCACTTTTCTTTGACATATTCGAGTTTAATCATATAGCCAATCATGCTTGGGAAATTACGGAAATCCACTAATAGCTACGACGACACACCATGTACGAGGCCTTTGTTTGTGTGAAATAAGGCAGATTGGATGTATAAAATTCGGTTCTTCAGTATATTCAGGAGGGAAAAAAACGGCTTTATTAGCTGAAGGAGATGACCCTGTTACTCTCTCGCAAAATTCATGATCACTCTCTCCTGGGTATACTTTGTTTGATTGTCAGGCACGAGGCGAAGCAACATGTCGGGGATCTGTTGAAAGATATATCAGCTGAAATTGAACACGAAATCCATGATCATATCAAAGTTAGTATGACTTAATCCGCATCACTTTAATGTCGTCCTTACTCTCCTCCTCCTTTTCTCCCTTCCTTTCAAGTAGAGACTGCATTTTTCTCTCATATCGAACATGAGTTTCTTGTTCAGTGAGATGCCCTTATGCTGTCTTAGTTTTCTGCCTTGATTCCGGCCGGTATCCTTTATATTAGCTCAACTTTTTCACCATCGTCCTGCCAGGATAAGGATAATGTTGTAGATACCAAAATCGTCGAAGAGTTTGGTGCAGTTGTAAGGGAATATCGAGAGACTGAAAGGATTGAAGCTGAAGAGGAAGCATCGCATGTTCCTGTTGCTCCCCAACAAGCAAATCTTCCGGCTTCAAGGTGACCATGTAGCTCTTGGCAGATATTTGCCCTCGTCTTATCCCTCTGTTATCGTTTCACTCCACCGACATCTCTCCCATTGCATGCAACTCGAATCGAAAAAGTAAAGCTATATGTTTCCGAAGATCAGTGCATTTTTGTAATAATTTTTCAACTTGGTGATCTTGTGTTCTGAGTTGGTTTGACAGAGATAAGAATGATGAGGCAGGCAGAAATGCAGACCAGGATGCCGATTTGCGTGAAAGTCTTGACGAACTGAAAAGGTCAGCTCCCCTAACATTCTAAGATTAATTCGATGTCGTTGTATGCTGTGAAATTCGGCAACCCATACTTTTACTTCTTTCCCTACAAAATGTATTAGCATTTATGCTGGATGGTTTTTGAGATTTTCTTTTGCAATGGGTCACCTCGTGAAGTTACACTTGTCTCTCTTGAGATGCAGAATGGAGGCGTTGCTCCTGGAAAATGAGAATGCCCTCAAAGAGATCCTCAGAGATGGAGAAGGAAACGAGGAGGAAGTCCGTCGAGTCCAAGAAGAAATAAATTCATTAAAAGCTTTAATCAATGATCTTAATCACTCGAAATAGAAGAAGTCGATGCCACCAACATTCCGAGAGCCCTGACCGCTCAATCTCAAGCTTGTGACAAAAAATAAAACTCGACATTTCTGGTAATTTCTAACTGACAATTATAGCCTTCGAAGCTTCCGCGGTTGTCCGGACATTCTTTTTTGTTCCTCTTATAATTTGAAGGAAAAGTGTTGGGGTTTCAGGGACTAATGGACTTCGCTCTCGTGTTTTTCTTTTCAGGATTGCTTTCGTCAAATCTTCGGATCGTGCTTTCTGTGGGAATGATAGTTTCTATATCTTACTTCCGTTTTTTTCCTGGATTGCTGTTAATAGTGCAAGATCAGTCAAGGCTTAGGTGTGTGGTTGAATGGCAAGCCTCCTTGCTTGCTCCTTGTTTTGTTAATGTACCGAAAAATAAGCGAAACCGTGCTCCTTTACTTTCTTCTTTCGATGGGAAAAGCCAGGAGGCTGAGTTCAGCCTGATGGAGGACTTAAGTCACTTCTCTGTTTACAAAGCAGGAATAAAAAGGACAGAAGAACCCAATAATCAAATCTGATCACAGCTACTAAAGGTCAACAGACTAGGACAGTTCTCATGCGGTAGAAAACCGTGTCTGCCTACGAAGATGGTCGAGCTCATAATCGTATATGTTTCGATGTTACAAATGAGAACATGTCCGATGGCCAATTTTCTTTTTCCGAGTACCTGAAAATTGAATGGCAAATTTTTTTTTTAATCTTTTTCCAAAATAATTTGACGGGAATGACTAGGAAATTCGTGCTCGGGAAGTGATCTACGTGGTATAATGATTTCCAACTACGGGGAGACTCGAAAGCAACGAAAACATTAAAAAAGAAAGAGCGTGAATAAATTACAGGAAGTGAAATGATGTAGTAAATGATAGAAACAGAGTAAAATCGCAAGGGAAAAACGAAATCTGATTAGCTTATCCGTAGCTCGATACCATCTTAAAATGCAGGTTTCTTCATTCCATTGTAAACAATGACATCCAACGAGAACAAATATAAAAGAGCCAAGCGGTTTAGAGAAATGATCCTCGAGCAGAGTTAGATAATCCAAGTTGCAGATTTTACGTCATGGGGTGGTTTAAACGGCAATGACATAACTACTGCCAAGGAGAAAATAAGGACAGTTCACATTAATAGTGAAGGAAACTGAGCCTGTTTTCAACGAGAGACCGCTTCCATTGAGAATAACAAAATCAAGAAGTAGTGGTTGGGTCGAAAACGCCGCGCAAAGTTCTGGTAATCTGTACTTCTTGACCTTTTGCTATAGTCAGCTGATATAATGAACTTCTGCGGATTATTCATAAACAGTATTCAGATTAACCTGACGTGCCTTTGCATTGTATTTCCACCCCATTCAATTTCTCTAGACAAGGTTTCCACCAGTCCATGGAAGAACTCTTTTGGTTTTGTCGAGGAAAAAGAAAAAAGTCTGAGCCCTGCGAAGAAACCGCAAAGACCGGGACATCTACTCAACCTGGACGAAGGGCAGATGACACGAGCTCTAGTATATTGTTGCATTGGGAGACCACAATATCTCAGCCAGCCAACATCGTGACCAATTATCAAGGTTTTGTTGATTTCATCGGGACCTCCAAAGACACCCCTGTGTTCCGCGAAAATCTGTGAGTCTGTCTAATAGGTTTTCCTAGTTTCTGACTATTACATGTGCTGCATATGAGATCATATAGTCACTCGCCGGCTTTAGAAAGTCATGGAGGTCCAATGGCATAAAAATGAACTATATCTCTGGCATGTGTTCCATGCAAAATAAAAGCAAAACGAATCTTACAGAGGATGCTTGACTGTGCTTTTTGTATGGGACATTGCGATGACCAGGCATTGGGCAAGGGAACTTACTGGGAATTTACTACAAGTGACATCAGCTCAGCTTGAACAAGACGGCAGAGATCATGGTGATGTTAGTATGCATTAATCTGGACTGCCTTATTGTTTCCTTCCCCTACCCTGCCTTTTATCTCTTTCAACTAGAGTTTAGATTTCTCCAATTTTGAACGTTCATTTTCTTGTTTGGTAAGAAAGAGTGGCAAGTTTACATTTTTTTATGCTGTGTTGTTTTCTACCTCGAATTCTTTATTTTGTTTCCAATATCTTTATTGTGAACTTTCGATTTTTTTTTTTCTCATTGCCATGGCAGTCTGGGAAGACTGTCGAATATGCCAAGCTTGCCAAAGATTTGGTGCAATTTTTAGGGAATTTCAAGACGTTAAGAGGCTTGAAGCTGAACAGGAAGCACTTTATGTTCCCGTTGCTCCCCAACAAGCAAGTCTTTTAACTTCAAGGTGTAGCCCTCGGCACAATCATAGTCATCTTCATATTTTTCCTTATATTCGTATAGGAAATCTTCTTGTATGACAAGTCTATTTGGCAGATCAAAGACCAACGAAGTGGGCATAATGCAGACCAGAACTCTGATCCACACGATCTTCTTGAGCAGTTAAAAGGGTAAGATCCTCGAACATTCTAAGACAAGTTCAGTGTTGCAGTATGTGCCAGAATTCAGACAACATTATTCTCCATACTTAAAAAAGATGACACATCATATTGCATGAAGGCAATCAAAGAAGAAGTATATGATTAGAACAATGAACAAAGGTCTGAAAAGTTTTTGCCCATCTAATTTTGAGGAATCACAATTTCCTGCCTAGTCATTTTCGGTGATCCCGACAATGTGCTGTGCATCTGATTCTTTTATCCACGGAATTCAGCTCATGATGTTTTAACTGCTATGGATTGAGGTGCAGAATGGAGGCTTTGCTCTTGGAAAGCGAGTACTCCCTCAAAGAGATACTTAGAGAAGGAAAGGAAGATGAGGGGGAAGTTCGTCGAATCCAAGAAGAAATTGACGAAGTCAGGGATTCCATCAATGACTGTAAAATACTCATAAAAGAACAAGTTCATGGTACAGACGGCATTGAGAGTGCCCTGCAGTTTTCAACCGTTCGTGGAACATTGCACCACGAGAAAGCTGCAGGTCAAAGATCCAACTTACCGTTTCTGATAATCAAATATCAACTTTTTTTCTTGTACTCGAAGCTTCCACTTATAGTAATGTCCAAAGGGTCTTGTTGTTTTCCTTAATAGCATTTGAAGGAAAGTATAGAAGTTCAGTGAGTTTATGAAATTCTGTTCCCATGTTCTTCTTTCAGGATTGCTTCCGTCAAATCTGCGGCCCGTGCTTCTTGTTGGAATCATAGTTGTCTCATTTTTTTTAATCTCATTTGTAGTGGGGATGAACTAGTTACAATGCCAATGAAATCTTATTATGTGGCTTGAAAGACATGCATCATGAGTTGTCGTTATGTGTACGGACGCATAAAAATCAACTAAGTGAATTTTTATCTCATTTCTGCTACTGTTACATGTCAGTCCTTTAATAGAAGTCAGGGAAATTGGAGAAGAAAATCATGTCTCTGAAATATAAAAAAAGAGAAAAATCTGGTAAGTGTACCATAATCTCAACTGCGAAAAGGCAACGAATTTGGATATTATTATGTGAAAGCATCTAGTCTACGAATACATGAAGTAATCCAAATTGTGAATTTTCGATTGCGAGTTCTAAACTTGAGTATTTGAATGCTGTGTAGTGGAATGGTTCCCTTAGTCAGTTTTTTCAATTTACTCTCCATTTGTAAGTCCCTAGCCTCTGCTGAAGTTTCACCTGTGTTACCTTCCTAATAAAACTTGACATGTAAAAGGATTTCTAAAATAAGCAAGCTGGATCTGGTCTATCATAATGGAGCCCCATTGATGTTGAATTACATGAGTCAGCTACTTGTATTAAACAAGAATCAACTTGCGAATGCCTTGAGAGGCTTTGAATTTGTTGCAAATCCTGTGTGTTCACTGGAGACCATCTGTGGGTATAAATTATGATAGGCTGATTTTTAATTCCACAACTTGATTTATTAAACTGTTTGAATGCAACTATTGGATCTGTTTGGGATTGAAAGGCAATACTAGAGGCCTAAGTTTGGATGGAACCAGTGGTTTTATCGTTAATTGGTTAGAAAAATATACGCAATAAAATCCATCTACTGGTCACAGACTGAACATCAGATTTCTATTACCCACCACAACCATCGAGTGATCTTCGACTTGAGCACGTGTAAACTGTAAATCAACCCTTACTCATCAAAGTTGCCAGTGTAGTTGTTCACTTTTGTATACATGTACAGAAGTTAAAGTTGTGATTTGATGAATAAATGGAGCCATTGATCCGTCAGTTCATCTATCTGAGTAAGAGACGCATGTGACAGAAACCAAGTTAAAACCTCTTCTTTCCTGATCAACATCGAACACTCAATGTTGTTCATCATGCATAAATTCAACATGATTGAAGATTCATCTCACCTTTGGAAAATGAAAGAAACTTAATCGGCTTTTCTAAATTAACGAAGTAATTTTTCCCATGAGTTGTTTCTCTCTTTCTTTTTTCCAAGGATGTTTCTCAACTGTGTTATTCTTTTGTGCTGCACATGAGACAAATTCTTGACTAAATTTTCCAATGCTTGGTTCCTTTTTATTTCCTTAATAGATGAAACTTCACAATTCAAGTGCAGTCCAAGAGGAAGACATGAGAGAAGACCTCGTAAAAGAATTTTAAGCTGTTGAAAAGGAGTTTCAAAAGGCTCAACGACCTAGATCAAAGCAAGGAGCAGCATGCTCTTCTTTTCTTCACCAACAAGATACCTACTTCAGGTATTAAGTGTAATCGCTGGCAAGGGATCATTTTCTCCAGTAATCGCTATCCTCGCTCAAATGAGCTTTCTTTCTTAATGCGGTAATGATAATTCAAAGGTCGCCGAGCTAGAGATGAGTTTCCATGCAGATCTGGGAGCAACTCCTCTTCTCGTGGAACTGAAAAGGTTTGACTGTCCGCAATATGCACTCTAATATCAAAACCGCGCCCAAATATACAGCTTGTATGAGTCCATGATAATCGATTGCGAATGCATTGAGTGACTCCTTTAGCACATGTAAGTAGGGAACTGTGTACAAGAAATCCAATGTGCCTTTTGCGCTGCAGAATGGAGGTATTGCTCTTGGAGCTTGAGAATACCCCCAAAGTAGCTAGAAATAATGCAGAGAAGCAGCAGAAAATTCAGAAGCAAATCGATTACACCTCTGAACTGAAGCTTAATCATGTTAGTTTCTACATGGAACTACTATAACAATATCTTTCCTTTTGAGCCCAATTGGTTTTTTTCTGCGGATATGATGGAACACAATGATGAGAGGTGGCCGAATTATCTGTGGTTAAAGATCAATATTTAAAACAGCCCTCAAAGACTAGAAGACCCTATTATTTTCTGGTATGAATTGGCCATATTAGTTCATGTTTTTATTTGTCTTTCCGTCACTAGATCAGAGTAAGAGCAATTGAGCGGTTGGTGCTGGTGGATTGTCTGCTTTGAAATTTGAAGGACATCAGTTTCAGTGTGGATCTTGCTTTTCGACTACTATTGCATGTCTGACTAATTCTCGACCTATGATGCATTCCGTGCTGGCAGAGTTTCTAACTTCACCAACATGGTTTTTACCCTTATAATTCCAAGACTCGACTGTCAACTAATTTTGGATCAACATTCACTCGCAGCATCGATCTCCTTTATGATTGTGTAGCTTCACCAATCTTAGGTTGTCATGTCACAAAGATGTCACTGCATCGACTAATTTCGAGTCCTTCTCATTCAGGATTGCTTTTGCGAAATGTTCAGAGCCTGCTTCTCTTCGGAGTAACTCGCAATGATACGGTCGAGCCACAGATTGAATTCATGCCTTTGGCTTTTCCTATGTATACGGTCCTGGTTCGAAAGTTTGTGAGCAACACAGAAGCAGAAGGAAGGACATTTCTGTGATCAAGCTATTTTATCTGGTTGAAATGCAAATCCAATCATGCTGTGAAATTACTTGAAGGCTTTACTCGGGCGATTCATTCTATATAATGTAAAGCGACCATACTCAGTCATAAGTTGGCGGCGTCGATTATATAATGAACGAAGATGAATAACACAAACATTGCATTTCATGGATCCATGATTGCCGCAAAATGCCATCGGATAGACTTTGGTTCCTATTTCGTGACTGACGGCGAGAACTGACCGATACCAATAGCATATCTTGCGCGATTAAATTGGCAAAATGCTTCACGTGCATTCAATCTGATTTAGGAACATCTATTTTCCGGGTTTGTCGAACTGAAAGTGTTTCGATCGCCTTTCAATCAATCTCCCTTCGATTCCAGCATCGCAATCTACGGGTGGGGTTTATTGTCTTTGGAAGTGATACCGCTATCAAAGAAGGGGATCTTCTGATGCAGATAGATTTAGGCCTTTATCTACCAACATTGGAATTCACAACCAAATGTGTCTTTTGAGCAAACCGTTTAGAAACTCAATTTGTCTGATAACTTCTTGGAGCAATAGCGGCACATCCACCAAAACCGAACTATTTTGCTTGCAAGACTTGCTCAAGCCAAATTATTTCCCGTGCACGACAAATTCTTCGGGCGGGTTCTTTTAAGCTCATGGTTTGACATACTCTAGCGTACAAAATGAACAGAATATGCCTTCTCTTGTCTTATGGCTTTACTCTCCTCAAAGCATAGCATGTGTATAAGACATTCCATTCCCACATTTCTCATTGGAAGAAGCTCATCAATATGGGGAATCGCCTTGCACATTTTTGTGCCGATGAGAATATCGCCGCTGACACCATTGAAACCACCTTCAAGCTGCCATCCCCATTACCGGCTTGGCCACCGGGTAACTCTCTATCTCTCGTGCAAAGTTTGCTTTCCGGAGTCATTCTCGTCGCAAATTACATGATATAATTTCTTAAGAAATCGTTCGTACAATACAGGTTCGGGTTTTGCGAGCGGTAGTATCAACCTTGGAGGGCTGAAAGTGTGTCAAGTTTCTTCTTTCAACAAGATTTGGGCTACTCATAAGGGTGGACCAGACAATCTAGGAGCAACATTTTTTGAACCTACACAAGTACCAGAAGGATTCTCTGTTTTGGGATTCTACTGCCAACCCAATAACCAGGCTCTTCATGGGTGGGTTCTTGTTGGGAAGGATGAGACAAATGACCCCTCGAATGGAGCTCTCAAGGAGCCAATCGATTATACTCCAATATGGAACAGTGAGTCCTTGCAAATTAAGAAAGATGGCAATGGTTATATTTGGTGGCCAGTACCCCCTGAAGGCTATGCCGCTGTTGGACATGTCGTGACCACCTCGCCTGAGAAGCCATCCACAGACAAAATCCAATGCGTGCGATTGGACTTCACAGACCAATGCGAAAGCGACGAGTGGATTTGGGGCCCTGGCAAGACGATGGACCCCAATGGGATCAACGTGTTCACCATGAGACCCAAGAGCAGAGGTACACAAGCCAGAGGTGCATGTATCGGAACATTCGTCTCTAAAATCGGCGGTAAAGATTCTCCTCACTCTCTCGAGTGCTTGAAGAATAACAACCCGGATTACACACGCTCCATGCCCGACCTAGGCCAAATTGAGGCATTATTTCAAGCTTATGCGCCATTCATATACTTTCATCCAGAAGAATCGTATTTCCCATGCTCGGTGGAGTGGTTTTTCAGCAATGGGGCTCTACTATATCAAAAAGGCGAAGAGTCAAAACCCGTTAAAATCGAGCCTATGGGCTCGAACCTTCCCCAAGGTGGTTCCAATGACGGTGAGTATTGGTTGGATCTTCCCGTGGATGGAAGAGAAAAGGAGACAGTAAAAAGAGGAGACTTGCAAAGCTGCCAAGCATATTTGCATGTCAAACCCATGAATGGTGCCACCTTCACTGACATAGCCATATGGCTCTTTTACCCTTTCAATGGCCCTGCTAGGGCTAAAGTTGAGTTCTTCAATGTCTCATTGGGAAGAATCGGCCAGCATGCCGGTGACTGGGAGCATGTGACCTTAAGAATCAGCAACTTCACCGGAGAGCTTTTGAGTGCATATTTCTCGCAGCACAGTAAGGGTGTTTGGGTGAATGCTTCAGAGCTAGAGTTTCACAGTAGGAATAAGATGGTGGTCTACTCATCGTGGCACGGACACGCTACATACCCGAAACCAGGATTAGTATTGCAGGGCAATGGAAGTATTGGAATAAGGAACGACACGAAGAAGAGCAAGAATTTCATGGACACCGGAGTCAATTACTCAGTACTTGCAGTCGACTATCCAAATGCTCTGGTGAATGAACCGCCATGGCTAAACTATTTCAGAGAGTGGGGTCCAAAAATTAGTTATGATCTCGAAAGAGAGATCAAGAAAGTGGAGAAGCTATTGCCCGGAAAGCTTAAATCGGCTTTTGAAAAATTTGTGAGAGGTCTGCCTAGAGAGATACTGGGTGAGGAAGGGCCTACCGGGCCAAAGGTGAAGAGCAATTGGAGTGGAGATGAACCTTGAAGATTTCTTCCTTCCTGGTGACATGAACTTTAATGAAGGTTAAATCTTCAAGAACGTGTATTTACGTCAGATTGGGGGAAAAAAGGCAGCCAGAATCTGTAGCCAGAAATTTAGTTCAATTGAATACTGCAAAGCAAATAGACATCATGCAAAATCACATATCTTATTATCCAAGAATAGAACAATTTACACTCTCATTCTTCCATAACTCAACAGTTTTGGCAAGCATAAATGTTCTGTAATCTTACTAAGCATCAAAAAGGCCATTGGATTATTGCACCAATTAGTGGGAGCACAGTTTTCATTTCATCTCGTGCTCAACAGATGAGTATTTAATTCTCAACTACCAAACTTGAAAACATACAACTGCAGAAAAATTGCAAATAGCGACGATAAACTCTGAACTCGCATCCCCACAGAGATTAATAGCCTCTCTGTAAATGCTCGTATAGAGAGTTGCTCCTGACAAACTAGGATACTTTCACATTTTTGTGCAGTTTGATGTCTGAATGAAACACAGATGCCACAATTATCACAAGGGCAGACAATGAGGCCGACAGAAAGGTAACAATTGATACAAATCCAGCATGTGTTTCTATGCCTGAGGGTATTTTCCAAACTATAGGGTTCTTATAAGATACGGCACCATCACTAGTCAAAACAAACAAATGGGATTGATTGCTTGACCTTTTCTCCATGCTGCAACGTGCAAAAACGTCTGGTTCTCCAAATTGAACCACTGAATAGCCACTTCCATCTAGGGGCTGCAAAGTTTTCCAATTTTCAGATGCCAGGTCTCAATTCATTTGCCACTTACTAGTTGACCAGTACAACAAATTCCAAATCCAAAAAACAACGCAAAATTTATCTAAAGTACCATATTCTAAGCTTCAAAGCATATAGAAGAGCAAAATTGAGATTTTGATCGAGATAGCCAATGCCAGCACAAGAAGATTCTGCATCTATGATCAAGGATAATTTCTCGATTTTTTTCCCTTTTTTACTATGTGAATAGGAAACTATAAGGGCTATTATAGGCAAAATTTGAATGCTGTAGGAAGTTTGATAGAGTAAATTAAGGGCCCGTTTGGCAACGTGCCAAACAGTGAAAATTTCTGTTCTTTTGTTCCCGAAATAATTTGGGAACAAATGCTTTAGTAAACTTTTTGTTCCCGGGCATATTTTTGCAAAAATTTGTGCCGAGAAACAGTTTTGGAAGAGAAACAAGAAGTAAAAAAAGTTGCTTCTTGTTTCTCGGCACAATTTTGAGAATCGGTTTTTTTTCTTCTTTTTCTTTTTTTTTTTTCTTATTTTGTGTTGTTCTTCCCTGAATGGGCCGGCCGCCGCGCCGCCGTGGCGGCCGGCCACGGCCCGGGGCGGCGAGGGCGTCACGGCCCTCGCCCGGGCGAGGAGGTCCGCCTCGCCTCCGCGGCGGCCGGCAAGGGCCATGACGCTCTCGCCGGCCCTGGGCGTGGCCGGTGCCCGGCGCGATCGCGGCGACCATGGCCAAAGAAGAAAATGGTAGAAAGAAAAAAAAATTAAACAATTCAAAATATTATTAAAATATTATTTGGGAACGAAATTTTGTGTAGTTACCAAACGCATTTATGTTCTTTTCTACTCTAGGAATAGAAATTTTGGACAGGTTTATCAAACGCCTTCAAATACTCGAAATTGTTTCCGGGCACGAGAATAAAAAAAATCATTTTGTTCGAAATAGTTCCGGACACGAATGGTATTCATGCGCACCTTAAGAATCCATGTTGTCATGACCTCACTCAATCTACACTAACCATATTTTTCCTTGACTTTTTACAGTTACTCAGTATATGAGCAAATTGATCTAAACTAAAAGGAACTTTGATGACCACATCTAAAAGTGGAAGGAGAAAATGCAAATTATCTACCACTCCCAACTGCTTATAGGTAATACGAGATTACGATGGATTGCCTATAGTGAGATAAAGCATCTACTAAGGAAACTAGGGGGATATCACCTGCAGCTTGCTACAAGCTTTGAACAAGATGGTACAGAAAACATATTCGTGAGTGGGTGAAACGGACCTAATGATGTTAGGGATTTTCATTTCGTTCGCTTTTTGATATCTCAGGTAATTGGAAAGATAAGCCGATAACATGCATAACCTGAGCAGTTCTTCTATCGTTAAAGAATAAAAATGAAAGCAAGTACATCGGGGCAACAGTTAATAATAGCACCTGATCTATTCTTCCTTAAAAAAAATCCGATTACTTGTAAAAGGAGAAAAGGACAATTCCTTCAAACTTACCTGATAGCGTGCATGTACTGGAACTTCTACTTTGATTTCAAGTCCATTCTTCTGTTCCAACCGGGTTCTGGGGCTAAAAAACATGTGAACCTCAACAAGGGTACGATTTGAAAGAAATGAAGGCAACTCCAAATTTGTATCTCCAAAGACAGCAACTTCGCCATATCCTGTAACAACAGATTGAACTTAGCACAGCAAAATAAAATGGAAACGACAGAAATGCTAGAGCGCAGAGGCATCAAATTTCCAGCATACATTTAGCTAATTAGAAGTATACAGCAGAAATTTACCTCCACGGTCCCGAACGTGTTGCAGCTCAAAGGGGTCAGCAAACACTCCGGAGGGCAGTCTTTCGACGAGTACAGCCTCACAGAAGCTAAAAAGTGACTTGGCTGCAAACTCTTCATCGACACTAATCCTAATTGACGTAAAGAGACTCCGATGAGAGCCCTCACCAGTCAGATGGCGATCCAAATCGGACAGTTTGAACACATTACGTGGATCAGGAGGCAGCATTTCATAGGAGCAACGAGTAAGCTCGACATCTCTATAATGTTCGAAAGCGGCATCGTCTAAACTTCCATACTTGTCAAAGTAAGTTTTTGCAACCCATTTCTCGTCGCAAGGGATGGTACATGCCTCAGAAGCCGCGGAATAGCCGTCTAAGCTACGCGTTTCCATCTGCAAACCCGAACAGACTAACTTAACGAAGCATAAATCCACGAGATCACTGCCCCGCGATGGAGGAGGCACGAAATGCGCATCGGCATGAATCGCCATTCGATCTTTACTGTCAAGTAACTCCTTTTTACAGGACGAATTGAGCTCACGAAGGCGTCGCCGCGATGCTAAATCGAAGCACCCAGATGGGACGACGACGATAACAAGTTCGATGCTGAAGGAGGAGAACGAATTTAGACGAATCAAAACTGACCTCGCTCGTCGACGACGAATCGGACGCTGCAAAGCCGACGCGAGAGAACGCCATCATCATCAGGATTCCCAGCTCCGGAAAGATCCCGGGACGTCCTCGCCGGCGATCTTCCATGGAGTCGCTGCGGAGACGAACTGAGGATGATCGGCAAGTACGGACCGGCCGAGGTCGATCCAGCTGCACATTTAAAGACACGGTCTTTGAAATTCCAGGCCCAAAGGGCTTCTTACCATTGTAAAGGAAGCCCAGCTTCGAGAGAGAGAGAGAGAGAGAGAGTATTCAAATTGCGAACCATTGCCGGTTGCGGCGGAGCTGAACTGAAGTACGGCGAGCGTCTGCACGGTGAAGCCGAGGAAGAAGCTGCATCCGCTATATAGAGAGCGAGAGAGAGAGAGAGAGAGAGAGCAAGCGGGCGATGAACAGTAGCTCGTCGTCGCCGTCTCGGTCGTCGATGTCGACGGCGGCGGTCGTCGGGGGGAGCGCGAGCAACGCCACCTTGTCCGCGGAGGAGTTCCCCGATCCCATCTGCGTCCACGACCGCAAGGGCGAGGCGATGCGAGGTCAGCGAGAGATCGATCTCCCCGCCGCTTTTGTCGATTGCTTTTCCTGTTCTTTAGCGGTAGATTTGGCGTGTGTAATTGTGATGTTTAGGGCAGTTTCATGTGAGGTTGTGATATGTTCTGAAGTTTTTATTGTGCTTGAATTTGGGTTGGCAGTTCTGAAAGCTGATCTGAAGGCTGCATTGGACAAGGAGGTGAAATCCATGGATGAGGAGAGCTGGAAGTTCGATGGACCGCGGTCTCGCATCAACCTCTTGTCTAAACCAGGTTAGTTCTTTCGGACCGAGCTCCGGCGTCATGTCGGATTCTGTGTTTTGCTTTTGCTAGATTGAATTTGAATTCGACATGCTTCATTATCATCGCCGGAGTGTAAGTCTTCGATAACGTTAACTCTGGTGCTCTGCCCAAACATCTTTAAGAATTTAGGAGGGTTGGTGTACTGTACTCCCAATTGCTGAGTTCACAAAGCGTGCATATGTCAAATGTCCGAGCGAATGTCTTTGTTTACTTTTTGCAGGATTTGTGTTCTTCATTCATTCCTCGTGTAATCGCACCTGCAAAGTTTTGAATTTTGAGCATTGTTGTCTCGGTTTCTTGACTTGCTGTTTGGCATAATCTCCACATAAACCTAAACGCAGGTGGATTTCTTCCCAGACAAATGGCAATAACTAGGCATAAGGACTCAGCTTCTGCAAAGTAATTCAGACAGTCTTTTTGGCTGGTGACGCGTTGTGTCAGTGATCGATCAGAGACTAGTTTCTTGGATTACTGCTGAAGTAACTCAAGCACTTCTATTGGCGAACTTCATTCTAGGTAGTGTCACTACTGCATAAGTATGTGTATCGGTTTGTCCTGAGATGCAATAATTTTGCACAAGCTTGAATTAGTAATCAAGAAAACAGAGTGATCTGCTGGTGTATTTTATAGTTTTCTTGGAATCACTCTCTCTCTCTCTCTCACAGAGCCATAGAGAGATTATGAAGATGAGAAGGTCAAAAGAGATGTAATTCGCAAGGACATTCGCTCTTATGGTTTCTTTAGAATTTTCAGTTCGTTGGTTTCTACTCATGCAGTTGGTTTATTGGTTATAGATGTCAAAACTTGATTCCACAAAGCCCTCTTTCTTGGACTTATTGCTGTTACTTCAACTTACACCATCTTATGAACTCAATGCTTTTGGTAGTTCAAACATTGATAGTTGCAAGCAATGGTGCATTGACATTTCATCTTTTACTATGTTGTTAATCTCTAGAAAAATCTTGGACTTTGGAGCATCTTTTCTGCATAGATTCTGCAAGTCGTCTTCTGCTCTTAGATTTGGATTGCAGCATTAAATTTCGAGCACTCACATTTCTGGTGAAGAACTTGAATTAAGATGTCAATAGCATGATATTGGTGCTTTTAAGAAAGAGAAATTAGTCACGAATACTTGATTATAGTGCCAAAAGTCAAGTCTCCTTTTCCTTGAGATTATTGTCAAATAAGGGAAACTTTTGTACTGGAGCCTGCCTTGTTGAAGAGATCTTACATAAGCCAAACTTCCTGCTTCTGGCTTTTACATTCTTGAATGTTAAGCCTCTTTTTTCCGAGTCATAGACCATAGATTCGATATCTAATACTTAGTAAGTTATCGCACATTGTGGTCTTAAACTCCCGATGGATGTGATGATTGCTAATGATATTCCGACAACAATACTAGCTTCTTCCACAAATTTTACAAAAGCATCTTACATGTCAAGGTGTAAAAATAGTTGACGAAGAAGTTATTATTGTTGTGGAAGTATAACTATCCTTTATTTTTGTCTAGACTGCATAAATATACTTTTAGCAAGTTTTGCTGTTCCTTCTTCTTTGTTCTGTTATAACTGTTCAGATACTTTTTATGATTTTGCTGGATCAATCACATCTTATTTGCATTTCATCTAAAGTATAAATGCTATTGTCTTGCCAATTCAGAGGTCCCTCCCTTTTCCCCCATCACCTACAAATATATCCTCATGCCCTCGGCATCGAAACTGCAATCTGCACGAGGTGTACAGCTTTGTTAAGTGTGAGTCTCTTTTATATTTTGATTGATTGAGAAGATATCCACATTCATGTGGAAGAAACGTATTTCAACTAGTTCCTCTAAAATGCTCAAGGTTCAGATAATCACCCTATGAAATGATTTAAGACCTTCATCATATAGAACTATTAATTAATCTTGAGGAGTCTTCATATCTAAGAATTTTAATATGCTAGTCCAGTCAATTTCTCTAACTAAGGGTGTGTTTGTTTCGGGGAAAGTGTTTTCTGGGAATTCGTTTTTCGGACTTTCACAAGTTTGGTTCACCGAAAATGATAAGTCAACGGAAAATACTTTCCGGTCAAGAAAAATATTTATGTATAAAATTAGGAAAGTAAATTCCTTAATCTAAGAAGGTGAAAACACTTCCGGAATTATTTCCCTTGACTTTTTTAATGTTTTATTCTTTTTTTTCTATTTCTTTTTCTCTTTTTTTTAAAAAAATTAAAAAATGAAGTTTTTTTTTGCCCGAGATAAAATCATGGGATTGAAATCATTTTCCAAATGAGATCCAAATATCAGAAAACGTTTTCGATTACATATCACAACTATATTTTTCTGGAAAATGATTTTCTGGAAAATATTTTTCAAAAACGTTACGCTTTCAGTAAAATAAAAGTTACATTTTTCGAAAATGTTTTCCAGAAATTCATTTTCCAAGAAAATAGTTAGTTTTCTTTTGTTTGGTTATATGTGATCGAAAACATTTTCTGGTATTTGGATCTCATTTGGAAAATAATTTCAATCCCATGATTTTATCTCGGGCAAAAAAAAAATTTGAATTTTTAAAAATAAAAAAGAAAAAGAAAAAAATAAAGAAAAGAAAAGAAAGAAAAGAATAAAATATTTAAAAAGTAAAGGGAAGTAATTCCGGAAAGTGTTTTCACCTTCTTAGTTTAGGAAATTCATTTTCCTAATTTTATACATAAATGTTTTCCTTGACCGGAAAGTGTTTTCGGTTAACTAATCATTTTCGGCGAACCAAACGGGTGAAAGTTCGGAAAACGGATTCTCGGAAAACACTTTTCTTGAAACAAACGCACCCTAAGAGAAGTTTTCGACATCGAAGGACTGAAGGACAATGCTGGTAACTTGGCAGGTTGCCAAAGATCAGCTACTAGCATTTGTGGAGACAGGAATAGCTTCAATGCTTCTTGGTGCCTTGTGTATTACGTGAAGAATGAAGTTTATGGGTTTATAAACATGGGTTAAGACACGTATGTGGTTGTTTTCCAACAACAAAGATCTGACAAGTGGCTGTTACCATCCCCAAATTCAAGGGCAGGTGAGCTTTTTGTGGCTATGAGTGCAATTAGTTTTGGGGAGTTTTCACGGAGCGCACCGTGGAGTTTGGCTGCTTGTATTCGTAGCTTGTTTCCTGATAACAGAGTCGTCAATTTTTATGGATATCGTTAAAAATGCGCATCTAGTCTCCCCCCTTGTAGGTTATATATGGCCTATTATAATGCACAAGCGCGTCGTCTTGTTTCTTTGTGAGGAAGAGTTTATGCGAATAGCTCTCCTACTTTTCAGAATTGACAGACATATATGTCGCTTAACCTAGTCTTTAATGCATAATTAAGCTGAAAAGTAACAGATCGTGCCTTCAAATTGAAATCCCTCTTAAAGAAAGAACACCATTTTAGTATGACTCGTGGGAAAGATTGAAGGGACGGAAAAAAAATCTCAGAATTTCTAAAGGCAGTTAGTGTTAAAAATCCATCGGGGCGAAAAATTCGTGGACTTAAGTCTAACAGCACATACAACTAGAGAAGGGTTTTCACCAGCTTAACAAATTAACAAATTATACAATACTAATGCTTTAGCTCGGCAAAAGTCCATCCTTACTATTCTTTCCATCTAAGAGCCGACTAAACTGAAGTAGTGGTACCCCTTAACAAAGCTATCCGACTTATGGCCCCTTATTCCACCGGGAGCTCAGTATAAAAAAGATGTGCAGAGTTTGGGGCCTGTTACTTTCAGAAAAGGCCGGTATACGGATGAACACTCGGAGGCCGTGATATGCTCTTGGGGAAGGCCAAAATGAGGCCCTCTCACCCACGGTTAATCTTTCGTTCTGAGCCATGGTGGGAACAGACTGTAAAAATTTGTATAAGGTCAAATCCCCTTGTTATCAGATGTGAGGAGGCCCATCTGTTCAGTAAGCTGATGCACGTGCTCGGCTTTGTCCCATCCATTCTCCATCGGCTGCACATCGTTATCCCCCGAATTAGCTTCTGCTGAAGTTGATTCACCCTCCTCCGGGATAGGGCTCTGCACAAGAAGATCATCCCAGAAGGAGGAATTCTCTAACAAAGCATCGATATCGGGATCAGGGGAAAGGCTATCGATCTCTATGGGCATCGACCCATTAACAAATGATCCAGGATCCATGTAATCACCATTATGCAGATCTGCTCCCATGTAGTCATCTCTGGATATATTAGCAATATCCTCCAGCACCATGTCTTGTGTTTGAGAGATCCCAGGCATAATGGTATCTGCCTGATTAATGGAGACTGCTTCAGCCTCCTGTGTTCCTGCGAGCATACCCATATACGGAAACTGGTTAGTAGTGACCTGAGTAGTACCCTGTGGAGGACACTGTAGTTCAGAAATGGCATATGAGGGATCATTTGCTGAGACTCCCGAAGCTGGCGGAATCTCAGGAAGCTGGCTAGAAGTTGGTGGGACCTCTTGAAGAGTAACTCCAGAGATGCGACTCGATGTCCTACTGTCCATGCCACTGGACAAAGATGAACCATCACCGAGTAGAAAACTATCTGGACTATCATCAAAAGACTCCCGCTGAGGAGCTTCTGCTTTCATCATCTGCCTGAATAATGCTTTAGCAGCCTCTTTTAATGGAGGCTGGTACTTAACAATCTGTCCATCAGAAGCAGCAGTATGCTCATTCTCAGATAAGCCATCTCGCCTTAGTCTCCGTTTCTTATTCGCTTCAGAGATGCGCCTGTTGCTCTCATTTTGTTGCTGTACAAACTGAGCAAAGAAACCTGGGCTCTGCACAGCTTTTGCTAGGAATGACATCATCTGCTGCTGTCGCTGTTCCATCCCATGGAGTCGTTGGACCATAGTTTGCAGTTGGCTGTCAGTGGTCTGCTGCTGCTGCCTCAACCTCACAAGCTCTTGCATGAGCACATTCTTGTCCCTTTTGAGCCTCTCAACTTCTTCCTCAAGCCCAAACTTGCCAACCTCTACACATGCCCCTACTGAAGAACTCTGTCCAGGTGGTTGCTGCGGCTGTTGACTGCCCTGTCCATGGGCAGGTTTTCGTCTACTTATACTCTTTAGAAGGTGTTTCTGACCCCTCAGAAAACCCTCATTCGCAAATTCCCAGCGATCTGGATCAACTTTCCGAAAACCCTGTAGGGCCAATAGCAAATGAAAAAAATTATAGCCGTCGACATCACACATATTGGAAGGATGGATAAATTTTGCTCATGCTGACAGCTCTCTGCGCAATTTTAATGTAGAAAGAACAGTAGCTGACAGAAGATAACCCGCACAAATCTAAATTTCAACAAATGCTGATCCCTAGTAAAACTGAATTTGAGAATGATCCTCATTTCCTTAAAAGGTTTACCCAGACACATGCTCTTAGTCACATGACTGCCAATGCAAAAGAACTTGCCCAGATGCTAGGTTTACGATCTTTCTTATTTTCCTCTCCCTTTGTTTTACAAGACAAAATATGGGTTTTACAAGACAAAGCAGATGACTTATTTCGGTCAGAATTTACAGGACAGAGCATGTCTACTGTCCACATTATGACACAGACACCGGCCACAAGTTTCAAAAATCCACCGCAAAATAAGAGCATGACCATCTGCCAAAATGGCTGGAAATTGGCTTGCAAAACATAATCATCATCAAAATAAATTTAAAAGAAAAGGTATTGACTCACATAAAAGCGCATGGGCAACACATGAATATGAAGAACAAAAACAATCTTACTGGAAAATGACTTGGCTAGAGTCACAGCTCCATCAATAGGAGACAGTACACAGGTTTCAACTTTCAAGCAGCCCCTGGGCTTCGCCAACTTCATGAAAAAGTAAAATAAGTTGGCACCATAAACAAATCGGCAGTCTGGAAGACCAGGTGGCTAATAATCCAAAAAAATTTCTTCATGAAGAAACCAGAAAGCTCATCGAAATCCTCATAAAAGTAGGTTGAGCAGCAAGGATTCCACTTGCAAACTTATTCACCCACAAACCTCGATCTTCCTTACAAAACATACTAGTAATAAAGAGACTTCACTGAAAAATGGTATATCGCAAACCAAGCCTTAGATGCATGAAGCAATTACTTATCAGTTGACCCACCTCCACCAGACATATAGCAGGTCATTTCACCAAACTGCTTCCTCAATCTATTGCATAACACCCAAAAAAAATTGTAATAAAAATGCATCATCTCATAGAGGGATTTTACCATGAATCCATTGATTGACTGTTTCTTTTTGCGTGTTCCTTCGGATTATCCAGTCATGCCCAGGATGAGAAAGGATAGTTGAGATGTCCGTTTTTAATCAATAGTAACCATATGCCTAAATAATGTCTTCAATATGCTACACCAACTTTTGATAATTCTGGTAAAGGGAAAAGAAAACAATGTGAAACTTTGGACCTTAGAATTCTACACAATTGCAATGTCATCCCCGAAATTGGTCTATGAAAATTATAGATCTTAGGTCCCATGGTTCCATTATGCATGGGAGTATTAGCATCCCGCGACGATTTTTCGATACCTCAACCATATTCTGCCCAACATACGTACACAAAGCCTTCTGTCCACAAACAAGCGCCTACACCCTACACGATACCCGTTCCCTGCCATTCACCTATGCGCCACCGTTTCTAAGGCCATAAGCCTACCCTTCCGACCCCTGCTTTTATCCACATTCTTGCCCTTTTCTCTTCTTCTTCTTCAACTCATTACCGGATGTGATTTACCCGGTAGGACTTGGCATAAATTAACTCACCCAGACGGATTCACCCGGTTGATGAGAGTTGAAGCCACCGAAGTAGCTAATGCCATCCTTGATGGCACCAATTGTGTGATGCTAAGTGGTGAAATGGCTCCGGGTTGAGTGAACCGAGTCTATCACAGTCATCCACTTTGTGGAATACATGTGAGACCCACAAAATTGACGGATGTGATATACCCGGTTTAATTTCCAACAATGTATTCAAAGTCTCTCAAGTGGGTCAATGCAAAGGTAATTTGGTTGAGCCTTTATCAGCATTAAGTATGTCCAATGAGTGCCCAAGGACATTCGTCAACAAGAAAAAAAAAAAAACAGAAATCAAAGTATATCTCATATACAAATATGGCATTTACACTAAATAAATGAGAAATATATTCAAAAGGGCATTCAAAAGAATGTAATAGGAGAAAGAATTTCATCCCTTTTAGCTATGACCCAACCCGTAGGTCGTGTACTGAAGGGATTATGGATAGGCTATGGCAATGCGGCTGGGAGTTAAAAGCCGAAAACCGCCGTGATTTGCACCCGTGAACTGAGGTCCCGTGCCCGTGATCATTCATTTCGTGACTTTGAAATAGATCATTGCACCAAACTGCTTCCTCAATCTATCACAGGTTAGCAGTTGCAAACAAAATTGCACTGGTCGTCTGTCAGCAATTCCCACTAGTTTGGTTATTGACATCAACTATCATATTTACTGAAAATTAGACCATTTATCTGCAAGATCAGGCTTAGGAAACAAATGTGTATGGCTGCGTCTCGTAACCACAGTATTGTCGCTCAGCGAGAACCTTAGACCAGCATAGATATTCAATTCTTCAAGCTAAACCAAAAGTAGGCCTATCTTTGCCCAGATTTTGTAATCATTAGTTTCCCGGCTTAAATGCCCGCTTCAACCAAAGAGCAGGATAGATTCCGAGGAGATGCATAGTGGTGACTTGCCACCGCAAAGACCCCTTACCTTCGACTTAAATCAAATATAAACCTCAGCAAAGGAGCAAACTTTCAACCATTCAATCTAAAACAAATCCGGTTCTAGACAATCCCCAATCCCTTTACAGACGCCTATCTTCACGCCTATCCTCAAAAGTCTCGCATCGACGTAGACGAAAACACCAAAGCCAAATTCCAATCAACGCGATAAACGAAAGATGGGAAAGAAAGAAGAGAGAGGGAAAAGAGATGGAGGTCGCTTACGTAAGTGTTCAGCTGGCGAACGAAGCTCGAGAAGTTGTTGTGCTTGAAATACTTGGGCAGCAAATCCCTAGCGAACTCCGGCGGCTTCCACACCACGAAGCTGTTGTTCGTGGGGCTCCACGACACGATCGAGTCCGTCCCGGGGTCGTCCACCATGTCGTACGTCTTGCTGAGGAACGGCGGCGGCGCGCTGGCGCTCGACATCGGCGCGGGCGCGGGCGGGGGGTTCTGCTTGGCGCCTCCTCCGTCGTCGCTGGTCCCGTCCATCGGCGGAGCAGAGGTGAAAAGGTCGGGGGGATGGAGTACGAGAGGGCCGATTTCTAGGGTTCTGCGGGGATTAGGGCGCGCGCGCCATGGACGGACGTGAAGCTAGAGAGAGAAAGAGAGAGAGAGAGACAGAGAGAGAGAGGGGGGAAAGGGTTAGAGGGAGAGAAGAGTAATTTTGTACGGCGGAAGACGGAGCCCACACGGGCACGAGCCGGTTGCGCCCCTCTGTCACGAAGAAGAAGGGTTGACGATAGTTTTATTTTATTTTTTAAAAAAAAATTTCGTCCTTTTGTTTTCATTATTTTCCGTGGGCTTTACCGGGCCGGGCTTTAGGGATTCTTGGGCCATCGATCGAGTTGCGTCGGAAAGCCCAAGCCCAAGACCAAGCCCAGAACCAACAACGCACGGTCCGTTGACAGAAAATGCTACTTTTACCTTGCATACGGACTGCTGCTACTTCTGCTGCTGCTGCTGCCCGGTGATTTTGATGAACCGCAACTGCAAGTGACTTTCGCCTTCATAGAACTAGGAACTCCGAATCAAGTCCAGCGCCTTCCATCCACAACTCGAAAAGGCAAACCGGACTCGCAACATCAGCTGAAAATTAGTGTCGGAAAGGTAGAAAAAGCCGGCAGGAGTACACTCACCGTCGTGAAGGCCGATCCTGATTAAGAACGGGCACTCGCTCTCGTTCTCTCCCCTTGACGCTGACAATCCCTCCTCCGTTCCTGTGTTTAAATGAACTCCAATGAGACCGTCGGTTTTTCAGGTCAAGCATATAGAGACTCAAAGTTCTCGTGGCTTTTGGTTCTCTGCAACCTTCTCAATAGTGTATGATAACATGTCCATGTCCTAAAAGGGCCCGTGAACATCCCCATTACTGTCAGTCACTCCCCTGAATCCATCAAGAATTTTTGCCACCGAACAAAGGGAAGCGACTCCAGATGAATTGAAAGATATCAAAGGGCATACACACATTCAAGACTCGGAGTAAATACCAATATAATCACACTGGTACGAGTTTGGCGGTGTGTTTGTAAATGCATATACATTTATCTTGTATGCGTATTTGTATTTGACAAAGCATATATCACGTACTGTTGTTGGGGTCGGCAGTTGGCAACCGACGAATGCCTATCGGGTATTGCAATCCCCCTCGCCCAACCACATCGATAATCACAAGGTCAGACAAGTCCATGACTCTTGACGAGGCCCTAAGAAACTAACAACAACGAGGCCCTAATGAAAGACCATACGCCTAAAGAATGTGCCAACACATGTTGCTCTGTTCATGTATCCGTGTACAAACAATTACCGTCTGACGGGTGAAGCCAGGATTCCCCTGCGGCACCAGTGCTTGGGTTTATGGCTGTTGGAAAACCATAGCCAGCTGTCCACAGCAGGTTCGGAACACTGGATATGCATGACGATTGGACCGGTGAAGGAGCAGAAGCATCCCATTTGATTATCTTAGACTGTCTGAAACTAGAAAAGAACACCGCCACATGACGCTTTTTTAACTCTGAAGCAATCCTACTGTTTAAAGAAGAGCTTGAGATGTCTGTCGTGAGCCTTCCATATGGTATCGGCATCCCTCGCTAAATCAAGCAGCTGCAAGAAATTGGAAAGCAAATTAACAAACCAAAAAGGAGAATTAACAGACCGCTGGCTTATCACAAGCCTTTCTGCTAGTTTAACTATAACAAAAGGAGGGAAAAAACACAACAAAAACCTCAGCCATGCAAGCTTTCAGTCTTCATACATCGTACACACTCATTTTCTTCTATAGTAGATACGTATTCAACTTCAAGTGTGGCATGTATTTGGGCATAGCTGGGTTAAGCAGACCAACAAACAACAAAAGGCTAATTTTGAAAAAAGCAGATCTGCATATCAGGATCCTGCTTCCAAATGTATTACCAACAACCAACAGCTCCAAAGGTGACATTGATACTTCAAATAAGAACACTGTCAAATAGTAAAACAGATCTATTTAAACATCCAGGAATGTTTAGTTGAATTGGTGGTATGATGTATAAATGATGTCTAAAAGCAGTAAATTTAAGGTGTCGAATGGCAATTGGACGCAGGGGAGTCAAAGCATAGAGAAAATGACAAACATATAGGGTATAGACACAAACTAAAAGTTTTTACACTTAGACCAAAAACATCACCAGTATGCACACTTGAGCATGCATGCATGAGTAAGTCTTGAGTGAGAGGAAGAGAAAGCAGATCACATGTCGAAGTTGACAATACTACATCAACAGAGCGACTATTATGTTATGAGGTATGTCTGGCACAATGTTTCAAAGTTCTTTCTTGCTTTTTCAAGTAATTGAACAAACATAAGCTCTATTTTAGATAAGACGTATGTCTGGCACAATAACACCTAGATCGTGGTCTCGTACGGGACGTTATCCGGGATCCGACAGGGAAGGGGTTTGTCACTTGTCATGAAAGTGATATGTAACAGGTAAGCTTAGCCAGGTCATTAACTTAGAATGGGGTATGTTTTGAAGAACTCGGGGGAGCATATTATATGTATCATGGCAAATTGTTCATTTGCTGTAGTTATATTTGCTTTGAATTACACGTGAGGTGCAACACTGAACGTAAATAGTTGAATTTTGTTAACAAATGCCCAAGACACTTAATAAACACCTCAATAAAGAAAGGTCATCAGTTTCAATGCATCATATTTCTCGTGTTATGTGTAGTCGGTGCATTGAAAATGCAAACATTTCCTTATTAAGTATGGTTAACAAGTTCCCTGGAGCACTTGTTAACAAAAACCTAATTAATTAAGGTAAATCGATACCCTTTCTTTCTATGCATCCAAAAGTCTAAATTAGGTCAAGAAGGAACAATGTCGTGTTCTCAAATAAATTATGAACATTAGATTAAATTGGTATACTTTAATTAAGGATGTGATGGAGTTGCCTGGATCACCGATTTTGGTGATCCAGTCATAGGAGTATCCAAATTCTGAATGATGTATGCCTATCATGGTTTGCAAAGGAGTGTAGCCAACATGGCAACAATTGTTTGGCAAGTTGAAAATATTGGATATTTAATAACCAAACACTTCTATGTTTTTGACTTTCAACGCTATTCTATGACTAAAGTTGTTGCTTGTGCTACCGTGCCTCGGTAAAACTGCAGAGTAGCTAAATTGAATAAGACAATTTCCAGTGACAAGCAAAGTTTTTCAGAAAAAAATGGAAAACAGGATATCCGGAAGTATTCTATTGCTTTCACTTTTCAAAATTCCACATATTTATACACCAAAACTTTAAAAATGAGAGAGCCTTTTCGCAATCTCTTAAAGCAACAAATTCAAGGCTTCTTTAGCAGACAAGATATTTATACCTCCAAAAGGATGCTAGATGGTTCCTCTTCCTCTTCCGTACCTGCAGTATTGGAGGTATCAGCGTTGAACATAATGAACTTCTAAACCAAGCTCTCCGATGGATCATTCTTTTGGGCAATGACACCTGTCTACATGGAAACTAAGCTCTGCATGCATTAAAAAAGCAGATAATCGGCATTAGCGCTGGCCTAAGAGAACAAGATTAGATGCCAAAAAATGTCAAAAGAATGAGGAAAGCCCGGAGTACCCCAAGAAATGATTGGGACAGCTGGACATGTTCAGGTGCTTCAACAAGGACTTTCTAGCTTTTTCCTTTATTTTATTGGCCTGCCAAAAGAGAAAAAGAACCAAAAGCGATACACTATTTAACCAGAGAAATCCTGTCTATCATGTCACAAATTCAATTGACAGCGGAATTGCATGTATTAATGCATGACTATGGTATATAGAGCTTCCTGACTACTCGACTGAATCTTTTTCTTTTCCTTCCCGTACGTGTGTGTGTGTGTGTGTGTGTGTGTGTGTGTGTGTGTGTTGGGGTGAGAACAAAAGACAAGGAGAGAGAGGAGAATATGTACAAAGAATCAACTGAGATAACCTGTTCCTTTCCAAATAGAATAGCACTTTGCAAAGCTAGCCTATTGCAGGAAAGTATATGTCTGTACATATGGACAAATAACACCCACCACGTTAAAACTGGAGAGTTGAAGAGAACCACCAGCTCTGAGCCTCGCCTGGTAAGTTTCTGGTCAACAGACTATTCTGATTCTTTCAGTCCCCCAATAACTGGTAAACATGGACTTTTTTAGTAACTGGCAAATATGTGTTCGACATGTTCGTTACATAGCAGTCTCACCTTGCTTTGCCAAATATGTAATACTATAGAATGTTCGTGTAGATTTATTATCTCGCATAAATTTCTTTCCTGCCATATCAGATTCTGCAAATCGGTGTTTCTAAAATATTATGAAATTTTTTTTCCATTATAAGTGCAATTACTGTCCTCTTTCCATCATGATACAATCCAGCTGAATTCTCCGTCTAAAATTCCCCTGCCCCAGTCAAACAAGCAACTAGTGTTTGATTACATCATTACCGAGCACCTCATGCTGGATTAGAGCTTACAAACAAATGCAGCACAACCATGTCAGCAGCATACATGAAAAAGCATTCATATGCAGATGTTGAACAATAATGTTCGTGTGAAGAAAAGTGAGCTCATCCACTCCACTCTAGCAATTACAGTTAAGGATGCGTACACGTAAATATGCACTTACATGCAAAAGGTGCGTCTCGGTGGATCCATACAGCCCATGCATACACACATGCACACTCCCGTAGACCCCATGTAAGTGAACTTGATGGCCACTCCACAACATGCATACACAAACATGTTCTTACAGATGTCGTGAAGCAGCCTCAATAAACCAGTAAGACTTCGGTAATATCAACATCGGCTGTCCTACGGCATTAACATTTACAGCATGAAATCAACAAAGATTTAGAGCATCGAGACCAAGGCTTTCGATGCATATCCTAAATACATTCGACTCCAAGTTGATTGATTCTCATCAAGACGCCCTTTTCAAATGCCACTAATTTTGAAAAAGTCACGAACTATACAGAAATTGAAGACACTAGAAAAATAATAACTGAATATGAGTATGAATGACTCACCTTCTAGGGCTTATCAAATTACTCTCTCATCCACTCCACGGTTTCTAACCCATTCTTCTGCATTTCAAGAAGCATCTCTTCCTTTTTCTTGATATTGCCAGTTCTGTGATAGGCAGCTACAAGGACATTGTATGTTGCCACATCAGGATCAACTCTTTGATCTTTCATCTCTTGAAACAACCGCTCAGCCAAGTCCACGCGTCCTTGCTTGAAGAATCCATCAATCAGACAGGTAAAAGTAAAAACGCTAGGAAGAACTTCTTTTTTTAACATTTGCTTGAATAATACCCAAGCTATCTTAATTTCCCCAAGTCTACAGAAGCCAGCTATGATAGATGTGTAGCATATAGCATCGGGACGCAAACCCTTTTTTATCATCTCCATGAACAAAATATAAGCTTCATCCACATGTCCCTCACGAAACAAAATGGTAATAAGAATGGTATTCGTGACCACGTCAGGCATGATCCCAGCTTTTAGCATTTTCCCATACAACTTTCGAGCTTCATTCAACTTTGAGTTCTTTGCAAAACCGTCCATAAGAATACTACACATAACAACATCTGGGAAAATATTTTTCTTAAGCATTGGAGCGAGGAGCTCCCATGCCTTTTCTGGTTTTCCCTCCTTGCAGAGTCTGTTTATAGCTGTAGTATACATATAAGAGGTGCGAAATATGTCCTGATCCAGTTTCAAAGCTTCTTCAGAATTTCCTTCTCTGCAATATTGGCAAAATCCGCGAATAATATTTGTAAAGGTGGAAGCACAGGGATGAACATTATGATTAATCATCTCTTGAAAAAGTCTGTTGGCAGAACCGACATGACCCTGATTTACGAAACCATCGATTAAGATGTCATAAGCAATACTGTCATACTCATAGCCACGATACCCAATATCTCGGAAAAAACCATGTGACAATTCCATCAAACCTGCCTTACATAGACCATGACAAAGCGAGCTATAGCTAACTATTGTAGGTTTAATGTTGGAAACTTCCATCTCGTGAAACAGACTTAGACTTTTCTCAACATCCCCCTTCTTGCTGAACCCATCAATTAAAATGCCATAGCTATAGACATCTGGAAATACACCATAGTTCCGCATCTCCTCCAGTACTTCCAGTGCCTCTGACAACTGGCCTTTATGGCAAAAACCATGAATAACAGCATTAAAACAATAATCATTTAAAGGTAGGTCAACCTTCTGTAATGTCCGTAACAAATCCAAAGCGACCCCAATGGCACCAACTTTACAAAGTCCACGTATGAATGTACCATATGTTACAACGGTGCGGCTTATCCCACTTTTCTCCATTTCTTCCAGGATTGCTGAAGCGTGGCTGAGGAATACATCATCACTGAGATTTAGTTTACAAAGAGAGTTCAGCATAATTGTGTAGGTCCTTGCATTAGGTGCTGGCCCACGCTTTTTCATGATGTCAAATAATTTTTTAGCAAAAACCTCTCTATCTGCTTCAACTAAGCATTTGAGCAGGAAGTTGCTTGAGTAGACATCAGGCTCGAGCCCATATTTCGTACCCTCTGAAAACAGATCTTCGGCATTTTTAAGCATCGAATTGGCTGCGAAGACCTTTATCAGCGCATTATAAATAACAGCCAATCCGACCACATCAGCCGGCCTATCAAGCAGAAAGTCGGTCAATCCTAACATATCCACATTCGACTCCTTGAAATAGCAAACCATATCTCTTAGCAAGGCGTAAACTTCAAGCCGCATGCCCGCGACCGCAAAAACATGAACCATCGTCCTAAGGACGACAATGGAATCTTTGAACCCGTGTTCGTTTACAATTCTCTGGAATCTAATTCTCCAGGCGACCTCCCAATTCAAAGACTTTAGCATTCTACCGACTAAAGAGAACAACCTGTACTTACTTCTCTCATCGTGCCTATACGTCACGGCAGGTTCCCAAGTCTCAACCTCTGGAATTTCATCAAACACATGGCTTCTGTCTTCGCGCCTATACATCACCGCAGATTTCCAAGTCTCGGCCTCTGGAATTTCCTCAAACACGTGGCTTCCACCTTCGTGCCTACACGTCACGGCACGTCTCCAAGTCTCAACCTCTGGAATTTCATCAAACACATGGTCCTCGACCAGCGCGGCCGAAGAGACCGCATAACGCAATCTAAAAGGTGGTTGCTTTCGTAGAACTGCGGAATGACGAAGCAAGTAGATACCGGTAAAACGTGCATTCCTATGTAAACATACACCCATGAATAGCTCAAAGTCGCCGAGCGATCAAAACGAAGCTGCTTTCTTCCGAAATCTTCGACAAAGACGGAGCTTTCCCACACCACTGAATCAGCATGCCTCATAGATTCGGAAAAGGGAGCGAAAGCACACGCACCGAGTGATGGGATGACACGACAAGCTTGAAAACGAAACAGGACATGCCACGATTGAAGTTGGGAACTTGGGAAGTACCCAGTTGTCCAATCCGAGTATCTATGCGCGGCGCGCAGGGGAGAGAGCGACAGAGAGTGCTCCGAAACTGCAGTGAGGTGCGCACTGAAAGGTTTTCGGTGCTCAAGGGGGAAGACGAAGACATAGCACAGTGGCGGCTGTTTGGGACATGAACTTTCCTGATTCCTTTGCCTGGATTGCTGAATGCTGGGTAGTGTTTTTACCAGGACCGCCATTGGAATTTTACCACCGCTCCTCACAAATGTATCGATTTATAATTTTTCATAATATTAATCTAATTTAATAAAAATTAATGAAGGATAAATTTATTATAAATAATTTGAAATTTTTAATAATAAAAAAATTAATTTAAAGTAAATTTATTACAAATATATTAATTTAAATTTTTTCGTGATAATTAAATCTTATTTAAAAACACGAGGGAATGGAAAAGACAAAGATAAACCTTACGATTGTAAATTTTCCCATCCAATTTTCTTTCCACCATTTTTACAATTTTTCAAACAGATTCTTAGTTTTCCAAACCTCTTTTTATTCAAATTTTGGAGTAAGAAAATTGTAAGTACCAAAAAAAAATTTCAATTTATAACTTTTTCTTGTGAAAATAATTTTCCTTATTTTTTCAAGATGAGATACTTTGTATAAAAAGAGGTTTTTTTTGGCAAGTATATATACTAAGCCAATCTTTCATTCATCTTGCCCCCCAGATTTTTGTTATGAATTTTACAGTTTTACATTTCAAATATTGGGAATGATTGATGGCATAATGAGTAAGACCTAAAATCTATTATGTCATAACCAATTCTCAATTTTTAGAACTGAGAATCAAACCAATCAACTTATAATTAGCCTAAGTCTATTATTATGTTGGAATGCTCAACCCTCATTATTTTTTTGCAAAATTTTACAATTATGAGACTCCTAAGATTTGCTTTTAAATTGATTCATGTTTGATTTTACCCTAAAATCACGAACCAAACTGGTTAATGTTACTTGGAAATCAAATCGGTTCATATGTGAACCGGCTTGTAACCTATTGGGTAAGGCCGGTTTAATTCGGTTCACAAATTGAATCGGCCCGATTGCTTACCCCTGCCAAATATATTAGAAGAGGCTATTGAGATAGATTTCTAAAGTATGGGGCGTTTATCGAAAAAATGAATAGTACAAGGAGCGTCTTTGGAAAAAAAATTAATAACACGGGCCTCAATTGAGATAATTTTCGGGCCCCTCTTGAAATTTTGAAATCTTCTCGCTGATGGATCTAGCCACAGTACTTCCTTGCCCGAAGCCCGAAGGAACCAAGAGGCGAAACAGCGAAAGATCGCTTCCCTGGCGGCGGCGGAGATTTCGTAGAGCGGCGGTAGGCGGTCGGCGGTTCTCCGGCGGGCGATTGACGGCGTAAGGGGTTGATTCGGCGGTGGTCCTCTTCGGCAAAAGGGTGGGCGTCGAGGCCAGTTACAGCGAGAGAAGAAGAAGTCCCGGCAAGTCTCCGTTTCGCAAACTTTTATCGAGCGATCTTTCGTTTGTTTAATTTGCTTTTGTTATTGCAATTAGATTGGATGTTCTTGAAATCGGTATTCTATTGATCGGATTTTTAGTTCTGTTCATTGTGAGCTCGATTCGAAGCATGGTAAGATGTGTGGTCTTTCGTTTGATCTGTGTGAATGTGGGTATTGGTTAATTTCGTATCTGCTTGTTTCAATTCTTTATGGGGTTCATGAGTTTCTTGATCGACCCGGCGTTTGTAATTGTCGTTTTAGGCAAAGTGTGGTAAAAAAAAACTTGGTTTTTGATAATTGATAATCATGGGTAAGTATGGGTTTTCCACAGATATTATTTGGGATGGGATTCAAATGTTAGCTGCCTTGTTCGACTGGACTGGATAGGTAGAATGTTCAGTCCTTGAGGCAAGGAGCTGGTGACCATTGAGTAAGTATTTTCGGTACTTGTGGTTAGAGTTTACAAGGTTGAAGATCACCTTGTCAGCTGAATTTTCCTTCCTTCTGTGCGAAAAGGAATGTCGAGTGCTACTTTTTGGAGTTAGAATAAAGAAGCCGGTGGATGTCAGCTGTGTATTTGTGGGCAGGCATGTTTCCACATTTCCGAATATTCACGTCTCATGAACCATGTCATATTATATGTTCAGAAGGGTGTCATAGGCTCATAGCCAGTGATGGTTCAAGCTGACTATTTAGATGAAAGGTGGAGTAACGAGCATGCTCTCATACTGTATACTTGCAAATAAGCTGCTACAGATGAAATGCGGATGGAGCTGATTTGCTGAAACTAGTAGATAGAAACTTATAAAATGAAGCGACACTTGTGTTTTCCTTCTAATTGTTTTGTTTGGTGAGCGTACAAAGCTTGATTGCCTCTTTTTGTTAGCATTTACTAATTACCCATGATTGTGTACCCACTGCCACTGTTTGTTCTGACTGTACATCAGTGCCATTCTGGAACTTGCTTTTCTAACTGAACTCCTAGAGCTTGCTTGTTGTCATGCCCAAGAGTCGTCTTTCAGAATTTTTTCCTTATGAGCAATCCTTGCTTCTGGACCCTTCTGTGCTTTCGCTGCCATATTTCTCGAGCATAGATTGCTCAGTATATTTGGTACTTTTGGCCATTAATTTCACACATCATCTCCGATAGCACCACGAGCCATTTGCTTCCTAGGCTGCCAAAGAAGCGTTAACAGTCTAATAATTTCGTCCCATTGATGCTAATAAGAGGTAGTGAAGGGTCACTTGTTAGAGCTCATGAATGATTGTGGAAATTGCTTCTTCCAGGGAATGGGTTTGTGGACATTACTCGAAGGCCTTTTGCTTCTTGCCAATGCTCTTGCAATATTGAATGAGGACCGTTTCCTAGCTCCCAGGGGCTGGGGCTTCCAAGAATTTCCAGGCGGCAAGGCAAAATCATTAAAAGGACAGGTTACAGGTCTCATTTACGCGACCCAGTACTTAAGGGTTCCCCTTATTATCTTAAACAGCATTTGTATAATCATAAAGCTGGTCTCTGGCTAGTATCTTGTAGTAACTATACCCTATGAGAAGCTTCATTGGTATCTCCTTCCTCGCATATGTTGTGCTTGTAACATTTATTTCTCCTTTTTCATTTCTTGAATTTTCACTGTGAAGAACAGAGTTTAAGATTGGAATGGGGTATGTTTTTTCTCTAGGGGGTGATGATGGTGAATAGTACTGCTCATTAGTCATTTGCAACACAAGGATGTGCTTATTTAACGATGTTGATGCTTCTTGCTTTTCGTTTGAGTGTATTGCACTGGTGAAGGGAGTAGAAAAATTTTGAAAATAGTTTTGACTCCCTGTTGTGTGTACTGGTCTAAATTTTTGGTACCTTTTCAAGTGTTGTAGTGTCATCCGTTTATTTCTCGGGGGTAATGACACCATGGACCTTTGAGTGGACATCAGGACCAATTAAAAGGTTTACGACTTCTGGAATAATTGAAAGGTTTGTGGGCAAATCAGTGTTGCCAAGTGACATGAATTTCATTCTGGCAAAAATCTGGGTTCCGGAGGTACAGATTTAGTGCATTGATTTGGGGCATACCTTTTGTGTTATGCGGTTTGCCATAATAGAGGAGGACCTCAATAGGGTCTTCAAAGATGGCCCTTGGTTTATCAACGGAAGGTTCTTATCTCTTCAGCCACAGGATCCCAAGTTCTGCCCTTCCAAAGCTGCCATGTCGTCAGTGGCGGTCTGGATTCGTATCCTAGAGTTGGGCGTTCAGTTCTCTGATATGGAAATGTGAAACAGTGGGCAGTTTCGTCGGACTGGTTCTGAGCGCAGTAGCTTTGCGAGGTTTAGCATCCGAGTTTCTTTGGATAAACCGTTGGAAAGGATGATCTGTAATATGATGTTGAACATGCATTTCTCTATGTGCTTCAATTCTTGTTTGGTCGGTCTCACAAAAGGACCGATGCATCGACATTGCCTGAGAGCATGAAGGGGGGCAGCCGGCCGCCGAGCATGACCCGAAGGGAACTCACAAATGTTCCGCTACCGGCACGAAGGACTGTCAGATTTGTAAACACTAACATTGGACATTTAAATTGTGAGGTTGCCCCTTTTTATAACGTACTCCTTTACTTTATCTTATTAAAAGAACATGGGCACCCACAGAATTTCGACTTGAAAATTTAAGGTTGAAATGGATATCGAATTCGCTCTTTATAGTAAGAAAGACAGCTTTCTAGATATTTGGTTTAGTTTGTGAGATGAATATAAATTGTTGTGAATTAACGGCGACCTTTGTGACCAAAAATAAGAAAGGTTTTTGGTAAAATAAGACGTACGAAAATTTTCAATTGAATTTTGGAAAGTGTAAGTATTTAAGGAATCATAATTTAGAAATTTTAAAGATTCGGTTTACTTTCGATTTACTTTTTTTGGCATCCGTTTACACCATTATCATTCATCATGACCTTTTCATGAAATTTTCGGGAAAAATTTGAGGTTAAATCTCTCTTTTTGTGTTTCCTTTATACAGAGAGAATAGATATTATTCTTTTATAGAATTAATGCATATGCTCACTAGAATGCTCACTAGAAGTCATAAAACTTTCACAAAAGTACAATTGAGTCCTAAAATTTATCGTCCTAAAACTTGTCAAATTGGTTTAATCGAGTCCTAAAGTTAATACCGTTAAACTTGCTAACGAAAAATTCTAACATGGCACTGACGTGGCTAAAGTATGAAACATAAGAGTAGAACAACGTCGTTTTGGTCCAAATTTAACTTTTAATACTATTTTTATTTAAATTAAATTTAAAAAATAAGCTTAAAAAAAAAGAGGAGGAGAAGGAGGATAGGCGAGGAGGGCTTTTTTTCAAAAAGTTTTAGCTTAATTTTAAATTTTAATTTAAATAAAATTAGCATTAAAATAATAATAAAAGTCACGTCATCGCCACGTAGGATAAAAAAATAATAAAAAGTCATGTCAGCATTTTCCGTTAGTCAAATTGTAGTATTAACTTTAGAATTCGATTGAACCAATTTGACAAGTTGTAAGACTTAATTGCACTTTTTGCAAGTTTTATGACTCAATTACACTTTCATGACAAGTTTTAGGACTTCTAGTGAACATATCCCTAGAATTAAATATTTCTCAACCAGCAATACTTTAAATTCACTTTTTATAAAAACCTAAATTATTCTTTTTTTCCTTATTATATTGATTCTTTTTTCTAATGGTGTTTTTATTTTTATTTTTTTGGATAAGTGCACTGGAAGTTCTAAAATTTCACGAAAGTGCAATTGAGTCTTACAACCTACAAAAAGTGCAACTAAGTCTTAAAATTTATCAAATTTGTGCAATCAATCCAACTTGACCAACGAAAAATATGGATGTGTCTTTTTTTAATATTTTCTCTCTCCTACGTGGCGGTGACTTGCCAAAAACATAAAACATAAGGCTAAAACGGCATCATTTTGATCATAATTTGATTTTTGATACAAATTTTAATTTTAATTAAGTTTTAAAAGTAAGCTAAATTTAAAAAAATGTATTAAAAATTAGCGATCGACTAAAACGTCGTTGTTTTTACCACGTCAACGTCACGTAGGAAAGACATGGCCATGGTTCGGAACCGGCGGTTCCGATTTGTGGTCATGTATGAACCTGAACCGGAATCGCCCTTGGCGGTTCCGGTTTCGGGCCGATTCCGATTTCGGCCCGGTTCGAAACCGGTCGGTAAAAATTAAAAAAATAAATTATGAAATAAAAAAATAATGAATTATCAAATTATGAAATAATAAATTATTCAATATAAAATGTAATCAAAATGTACATTGTAATCAAATTTGGGGAAAAAAAGAAAGAAAGAGATGAGGCTTGAACTTAATGAATTATCAGTAAGCGCCTTACATATCTTCTTGGGGATAGAAGAATCAAAATCCATGTAGTTCTTTTACCCTCAGTCGTCGCTACCCGTTCCGGTACCGGTATCGGTACCGGTAGTGGTGGTATCTCCGTCGTAAAAAAATTCGGATTCATTATTCCGATCTATCTCTTATTGTCGATACTGAGCCTTCGTCCAATCATCGACGCAAGCTTGAGCCTCCACTAATTCCGGAACTAATCTTGAACATTGTTCGTCCAAAATATTACCTCCGGCACTGAATGCTTATTCGACCACAACTGTCGAACATGGGGTTGCAAAAATTTATTTTGCAATAAGAGAAAGGATTGGGTATTGGCTTGCATGCCTCTTCCATCAATCCAAAATTAAAAAACCTGTACTACCTTCGGATTCAGAAAACTCAAATGAAACGGTTAGATACATCTCTAATTCAGAAATATTTCCTATTACTCCCTTTTGCTTTTTTTGTCTATGTAATAAAAGTTGGTACCCTCTACTAATTTTATCTGTACTCTCACTTTGTGTCTCGGTAGATTGAGAAGATCCAATATCACCTCCCTCAGTACAAAATTCATTATATAATTCTATTACTACGTTGAGAGTATTGAGAGAATTGAGAATTTGAGAGAATTTATAAGAAAAAAATGAGAAGGAAATTTAGGAAAAAATAATAATAAATGGATAAAGTAGCCGTTGCCATAAAATATATATATTAGCCGTTGCCAAGGCCAAGTGGCCAACGGCCACCTGCCCTGGGCCTATAGGCTGCAGCAGGGCCTACAGACGTGCAGGCTCTGCTGCAGTTTTTTTTTTTTTTGGAACCGGGCTCGTAGGCCACGGGCCGTTTCCGGTTCTGAATCGCGGTCCCGATCAACGGGCCGGTCCCTGGTTTGACCCGGGCCGGTTCTAGGCCGAAATCGGCCCGTGGCCATGTCTACGTAGGATAGATAAAATAATAATAATAAAAAAGCCACGTCAGTATTTTTTGTCAGCCAAGTTGGACGGAGTTAACGAAAGGACTCGATTGTATCAATTTGATAAATTTTAGGACTTGACTGCACTTTTAATAAGTTGTAGGACTCGATTGCACTTTCGAGATTGCTTTAAAATTTTCAGTGCACTGGTCCCTATTTTTTTTGTTGTGAAATTAGGGACAAGAAAAAGGAAAGTTTGTTAGGAGAAAAGAAAAGAATAAAAAAAAAAAACTCGGTGCGTCGTGCATTTAGTTTAACTAGTCTCGACCCTCAACAACTCTCACCGGACGAGACTTGAAGCCCGACGACCCGGCCCGGATCCGGAGCCTTCTTCTGAGGCGGCAATGGCATGATCACCGAACATATTGCCCCGTCGTCCTCCGTATCTCCTCCTCCTCCTCCACCGACCTCTCCGCCGCTCCTTCAACGTCGATGCACAGCTCCGCCGCGAGACGAGCTAAACGTGGCTCTCGGCCGCACCGAGGCTCCCGCGCCGACGGGAACTGGAGAATCAAGCCTCCCGGCGGCGGCGGCGGCGACGACGGCGACGGCGGCGGCGGCGACTACCGTCGATCGCGACTGGAGTCTCCCGAACCGGAGATTGATCACCAGTCTACCCCCTCTACTTCTCTGCAAGAGCCCCGGGGGTCCGGGAATCCGCCGAGCCGCCGGTGGGCAGCGCCGCCTGATCAGGCGAGAGCTCGATCCGCCGAGAGCTCCGGCGCGGACCGGTCGGGACCGGAGCTGCCGAGCTCGTCGAGCTGCGAGGAGAGGGAGGTGAGCGGCGACGACGCGGTTAGGCTGGGGTCTGATGAGAAGGTGGGCGGCGACGTGGCGGCAAAGGCGAGGGAAGCGATGGAAGGGGAGAGTGAAGCGAGGGAGGTGAGTGGAGACGTGGACAGTGTTGTGGTGACGTTGGAGGAGTTGAGGTTGGGGATGGAGGAGCCGGAGTTGGAGGAAGAGCAGCTGAATGCCAACGATCAATTGCAGGAGGACGAGGTACGTGACTTCGATGGAGGATTTTTGGTTCTTGCTGTCTTTCAATCATCTGCTGAAGAGGAGTTGGTAATGAACGTGTACAGTAACATCATAGAAATTTGTTGGTATGAAGAGAAAAATGTGGGCATCCGTAAATGGCCGGACTGTGGATATTGAGAATGAACAAGCACTGGGTGATGGTGTGGCCAAAGAGTTTTCTTTGCGCCTTGAATTACATTTCGAAGGTATAGGTGTCTAAAGTGAGCAGGCTTGCGATATCATAAGGTTCCTTTTGGGTCTCTAATATCGGGTTTGCTTGTGATACCTCAACTAGTCCAGTAAATGAGGAGACTACATAATTTTGCATCGTGAATATGCTGCTTTTGCTTGGATTTTGTGAAATCAACAGGATAGACCCCACTGAGTGACGTAGTGTATATGTGGCTAGATAGCCAAAATCCAGCAAGAGATGCCAGTATTGGTGACTTGTGGTGCTATTACAGTTTCATTGTCATTAATTTGTCCAGTTATTCTAATTGGTAGAAATCTTTGTCCTAATGGGCTCTCTATGAGCCGTTTTGGCCAAGTATAGCATAGCTAACGAAAAAGTTATTTACAAGGCTGCTGAGTTGCAATAACAAGCTGAGAACTTGTGAAGGCCTGGTTTTGAGGCTTGTGTTTTTCTGTTGGTGGCTTGTGATGGGAGTCGTCAACCCATGTTTCTTTTTGGTGGAGCAATAAATGTTTAGTTACTCGCCAAAAAAAGAAGTTGAGTACTTGGAGACTTTTGTATATTCCACATGACGCATGTGCATTTCTAGTCGTCATAATGTATGTTACGGCATTATTTCACGCGTCTCATTGTAGCAGCGATATGAAGTAGACTTTTAGATTATTTGTGCAACATAAGGAACTTTCTTGTTCTGAAATTAAATAGTGGGTGAAAGGGTGGAGAACTTTGACAGCTTTATTTAAGCTTGTTGATTGTTACAGAATAAAGTAGCTTTTGCACGTTTTCTTTCTTATCCTCAATTTTATTGCAGTTGCTTGTGATGGAGTCAATTTATGGAGATAATGTCTTTATCCTTGACAGAAGGCGGGGTTCTCGGTTTTTTAAGGTTTGTCGAGAAGCTGAAAGCACTGTATTATGGAATTTTCCCCAAAAAAAAATATTCTGACTCTCGAGTGACATTTTTGCAGATTTATATTGACGTCGAGGTTGCTAGCGAGATTACTGTAATTGCTAGGCTGAATCCATCCAATGATCTCACCGTCACAAGTGGCAATTCAGATGGCTTTTCTTACTCTTACAAAGTCCAGCACCTTCCTCCAATTGTGCTGACATGTCTATTACCTAAGTCGTACCCCAGTCATGTTCCTCCTTGCTTTACCATCGCTGTCCAGTGGTTGGCTCCCATTAAAATTTCTAGTTTATGCTCCATGCTTGACTCTATATGGCAAGAACAACCAGGGCAGGAAGTTGTATATCGTTGGGTGGAATGGCTGCAGAGCTCCTCACTTCCTTATCTTGGATTTGATGAAAAAATAGATCTTGGTCCTTATGGAGTAAGAGGAACTGGAGATAAGCGTGCAATTTCGGGAAGTGTCTCTCCCGACGTCGATATTCCCTCAATTAGGAGTTATAATGATGACAAGTGCCACGAGAACTTCTTGAAGAACTTGCATGAATGCTGTATTTGTTTCAGCGAGTATGCAGGTAATTACAAAGCCTTGTCTTGGCACTATGCTCTATCATCCCTGGTGAAACTTCTTGAGTTAAAGCTCAATTCTTTTTTCGGAGTAAAGTAATGTTCTGTCATCCCCGGCGAAACTTCTCGAGTTAACGCTCATATCCTTTTTTGGTGTAAAGTAATGTGTGGATTTTTGTGTTTGTTATTTCTTTGTCTGTTAGAATAGGCTCATAGATGTTATATCTGGCCTGAGCTAAGCAGGTGAAACAGGCATGAATAAAATGTTAATGATCTAAAGTTATTTCTGTTGGAGCTTTATGCTAGTTATTTGAAGAATCTTCATAAGAATGGTCATTATAAACATTTACTAGCACTTCTGGGTTGTCTAAATTCTGCAAGTGGTATTCATTGATGCACTATGGTTGCTTCAAAAGTCTACTTGCATTTTTCACTTGGAGTGGTGAATATCAATTTTCTTCTTATGCAGTGGCTAAGCACCCTTGTCATGTCTCATGAAACTATTGAATCCTCTTTCTTGCTTGATTTCTCCTCACCTACCCAGGGACGGATTTCATCAAATTGCCATGTCAGCATTTCTTCTGCTGGAATTGTATGAAGACTTGTTCTGATTTGCATGTCAAGGAAGGAACAGTATACAAGCTTCACTGTCTTGCTTCGAAATGTGGGGGCATGGTCCCACCTAGTTTGTTGAAACGGTTACTTGGTGATGAAGAGCATGACCGGTGGGAGTCTTTAATGTTGCAAAAATCCCTCGATTCAATGTCTGATGTAGTATACTGCCCCAGATGTGAAACACCATGTATAGAGGATGAAGATCAACATGCCCAATGCTCAAAATGCTTCTTTAGCTTTTGCACTCTTTGCAGGGAGAGGCGACATGTAGGCGTTGAATGTATGACACCAGAAACAAAACTGCACATCTTGCAGGTAATACTTGCATGATGACCACAACTTACCATGCTACATAATGACAACTGTTTTGGGCTTGTGTGATTCCAGAAACGATGAGAACAGTTACAAGGAAGTGGGGAAAAAGGGCTGACTAAGCTTTGCTTAGATGTGAAATATCGATAGCTTCGCTTATGTGTGAAATTATATTGTTCTTCTGAGAAGATCTATCTCCATGTTTCCTTGTTAGATTAATTGGACTTGCTTCTTGTTTGCTTTTCTTGTTCATGTGATGCCCTCTTGTGGAAACCTAATGATATGTATATGATATCAGAAGGAAACTAATGCGGCACAAGCTTAGACTCTAGAGAAATTACGTGATGACTTCAGTTTATGCCAGTTATAGTTTCTTAAAGTCCTGTATGTGATAGCTTTGCTTTTGGTTGCAAGCTCTGTGATTTTACTTCCTATGGCTGAGCTTGGAGTGGTTTTGATGATTTGATCTTTAAGGTCAATTATGATCTCTCTCTCTCTCTCTCTCTCTCTCTCTCTCCATATGCATGCAAGTGCTTACGCGTGGTTTTCAATGCACTTTGTCTTTGGCCTATGTAAGACCTACATCCTTATCTATTCGAATGACAGGTGGTAGAAGTTCTGTGTATTATTCTTAAAGAGGCAGCAGTTCTGCTCTAGCTATTTATTGTTGTCATGTGTTCCATCGAATATGAGAAGATTAATTTCATGCATTTTAACTCTACATAGAATGTTGGCATCGGATGACACATAAACTTAAGTTCCTTTGGTGTAAATAATTTTCTAAGCGGCTGAATTGTTCCCTCAAGGCTCATTTGGGGTTCCAATTTTAGTGTTTCTTCAGTATGTTTGTCTACTAACATATATAGGGTAGCCTTTTTTGGAACGAGAACCCTTGCACATGGGAGAACCAATTTCCTGAATTGTTCACCAATCTATGAGCCATCGACCTGTGGTCACACGATGGGGTTGGTGGCTAAAAAACATCTTTAGTTGAGTTGCCCAACTTATATTTTGTACTTGTTGCTTGCTGCATCAACTCACGCCTTCGTTGTTTTACTTATTGGCAAGAATCAGGGACTGCTTCCTGGTTTATGATTTTTCCAAAATTAACATGTTTATGTCCTTTGCATCCAGGAGCGCCAAAGTTCGTCCCAACTTAAGGATGAACAAAAACGATGGGAGCGTGAATTAATCAATGAACTTTTAAGTGTCAAGGAAATCAATAAGATTGCCAAACAATGCCCCTCTTGTAAAATGGCGATCTCTCGAACTGAAGGTTGTAACAAGATGGTATGCGAAAATTGTGGGCAGTACTTTTGTTATTCCTGCAATAAGGCAATTGATGGATATGAGCATTTCAGGTCAGCAACGACTTCTGATGAGTTTTTTACACCCTTTTAATTATGATAAAGCGGTGGTTCAGTTCTTACTTTGATGGACTAATTAGCTTGTACTATTTGAAGGGATGGAACATGTGAACTATTTCCGGAGCAAGAGATTAGGCAATGGCAAGAGCAAATGAATCCTCGCCAATTGGTGGGTCAGGTTCAGGCTGAACTTTTTGCTAATCACGGCCAGACATGCCCCAGTTGTCGTCAGTTTAATGCGAAGGTTAGCCACGGACATCGAACTGCAGATTTGTTTCCTTGAATTTGTAGCCTCCCTGCAACTTGGCATTGCTTAGAGCAGCAATATGTCAATTGAACAATTTCTTTGAGCACAGTAATATAGTCGGCAGAATCTCCGGAATCTGAATTTTGGACTAATTATGTGTGCCAATACATGACATCTACTTTCTCCTCTTCCTATTGTTGATTATCAAATTCCAAAAAGTCAAGAAGGAGGGTGTTTCTCTCTGTTTAGGTCGTTTCTAGCTAAAGAGGAAAATAGATAAAGAATAACAAACAAATGTGCTGTTCTTCTCTGGTAGTTTTACAGTATTCTTCATAATATGCTCTTTTCTCAGGATTGGCAGCAATAGTAAAGGTTGAGAACATGAATGCTTCATAGTTCGTGTGATACTGAAGGATGAAAATGAGAACCTTGTGTTTTACTCAAAATGTTGCTTGTTGCCTGCTTTAAGAATTTCCACTTTGGAGAGTATGATATAATTTTAAATTAGCAGTCCATGTCTGTCTCTGCAATTATATTGCAGTGATAATCAACTCTATCAACTAAAATTAGCCAATCAGGTTATGCTTACACGAGAAAGTAATAGTTTACCATGCTATATCAAGTGTTTGTCATTGTTGGACTTTTCGAAGATTACAGAAAAATGCATGAATATAGGATTATAGGAAGGGACTCAAAAGGAGTTGATTCATTACTCATTTCTCAATTAGTCCAAGAAACCCATCATTCTTATTACTATTTCCTCGCTCACAGATTGGCAACAACAACCACATGTTCTGCTGGGCATGTCAGACACACTACTGCTACCTATGTAAGAAGATTGTGAGGCGTGCTTCCGAGCACTACGGGCCCAAAGGATGCAAGCAGCATACTGCAGGATAGGTACAAACATGGACTATGCGTATGAGGCTATCTTCAAAGATGCAAATGCTGCATGTGCGGAATGATTATTAATTGAACTGCATTCCTCGGTTTAAATCGATGAGATCGGTTGATCCTATCTGGTGCAGTTTATTTAAGTGAATCCTCGGGATAATGAAAAATTGTGGTGCTTGAAGTTGGACAAGATCTCATCTCTGCCAGATTTTTCAAGGACAGCGAGTTCTTGCTTTTGATTCTTGAACAGACTCGTGGAGTATATCCCAAAATAAAAATCATAAAGAATTATATGGAGCAAAGTATGTAGGTTGCTTCCAGCTTTATTCTCCACGGTGGGAGTGAGTGGTCGTATATTTTTGAGTGACAGAGTCAATGGGTTGCTGATTGGAACACAAGAAATAATGATTTTCAATGATATGTTCATTTTGGAGATTTGATCTCCCTCGAGGCTTTTTTTCTGTTTGTTGGCCGCTTCCAGTCAATTGTTGCCCTGCTCTTGTGATGCAATTTACTAAATCTCTGTCAAGCTCTTTACAAACTTTACTACCAAAACTTGGGGGAAGTTACCAACAATGTTCTAAATCTATTGTACTTAAATCAATTTAGTTTTAAACATTTTAATTTGAACAATTTAATCCTAAACTTTTTAATGATTTGTCAATGTAGTTCTTCCGGTCAATTTTGATCGAAAATCATTGACGTAAATGCAAGTAATCCTTTGTCACACAACCAGCGATAAAATGGACATTTCAAATTTTTCATAATTCTTTTGAACTTCTCTATTTTTTTATTTTATTTTCTTTCTTTCTTTCTTTTTTTCCTTCTTCCTTCACTAGTTGCCAAGCCTCGGTGATGGCTAGCCACCAGCGACAAGTGAGGCTGGCAAGGCTTGCCCTCGCCAGATCTAGCGAAGTTCAATCTCGGGCCCCTTGCTAGATCTTGGCATCTTGGTAGGGTTGAGCCTCGCTAAATCCGATGGCGAGGTGACCTCGCCCGAAGCTGGCGAGGTTAGCCTTGGACAAGCCTTGCTTGAGGTCGGCTCGCCTCGAGGATGGCCCTCGCCAACCTCACTTGTCGTCGATCGCCGGCCATCGCCTAGGCCCAGCGACCAACAAAGGAAGAAGGGAAATAAATAAATAAAATAAAATAATTCATAAAAAAATTGTTCACATTAGCGATTTAGCCGGAAGAATTATATTGGCAAATCGTTAAAAGGTTTAGGATTAAACTGACCAAATTAATGATGCATTTAGTTCGATTTTGGGGAAATATCTTTGGGAAAATGCAAAGGCATTTAGGCTAAATGAGATTTTCGAAATGCAAGTAGTATTTAATAAATTGTATTTTTAAAACTTATTGGGAAGTAACTTCAACTTAAATATCGTTTGGTGAAAACTACATTTTGTAAAGGGCTTTTGCTAGTTTTTTTTTTTTAAAGCCTCAAACTATTTTTGGTGGAACTTAGCCATTGGCAAGCCAAAACGGCCGCCGGCCAAACCTCGCTTGAGGTCGCGACCTCAAGCATCGCTTGGGTCGTGCAACTGTTGTGATGCCTACCTCAGGCGATGTCGCTGGCCTCCATCCATCTCCTCTGTGCAAACCGTGGGGAAGATGAACAATGCTGATGAGCAGGGAACAGTGGCAAGATTTGCATTCCGAAAATGCTACTTTCTAAAGGACCTCTGGATCGTGGGGAAGATGAATAATGCTGATGAACGAAGAACAGTGCCAAGACTTGCGTTCCGAGAATGCTACTTTCTAAAGGACCTGCCTTGGGCCAAAGGGCCTTTGGACATTTCCTAGAGTTCTTAAAAAAATTTGCCAAAGGGATTTTGGGCTCCAAAACTCATTGTAAATGCTGAAATTAACGAGCTTGAAAGGTTTATGACTGAATTAGACAAGTGAAATAGATTTGACTTTTTATGATAATTTTTCTCCAAAATTTGTTCATTTGTTGATTACACGCATGAGACACGGTGTGGTTTTCGGACACAAAAGAAAAAGATGTTGTATAGAGTGTTGGAGAACACAAATAGATTGCGATCATACTTTTCATTAAAGCCGTTACAAAATAATTACTTTGAATAAATCAAAATCGTTGAAATATCCAACAAAAGAGTCATGATTTAAGAGTCCCGCAAGATAGGCGATTGAATCATCATTGTCGCTTACTTATACGCTTCCGTCCAATCAATTGAATGTCCTCTGGAGTCGTGAACAATGCATTAATCGTGCTTATCCGGCATCCACTCGTTAAAGAAGAAAAAGGTGGCTGGCGGAATGAGACAATTTCAGCTGAAGCAATGATGGACATGGCTCGTGCTCCAATTGAGAGATGGCACATGATAATGACTTACGATATGTTGCTGTATTGCCATGCCACTAGCTCCACTTGAACAAGAATCTTATCATGTTCCATGTCGCCGATCAGCGCCAATGCTTGAAATAATTGGACAGTACAGGGAAAATTTGCTCCCAGAACAGGAAAGAAGCCAAAGATATTTTACCAGCTGACGTTTGATGCAGTGATAAACTAAGGAATAAAGCCAAGAACGAATGACACCACCCACTGTTTTTTAAAGGTATGAAAGAGAAGATTCATACTGATACATCATTGAAGAGCCTGTCCAAGTCAAGACACAACTTGACTCGAGACCAGAAAGCTCTCAACTTACAACTTTCAACTTTCTTGCATGTGTTCATTGCAAGAAAATAATGCAAGATCGCTCCAAAATCCATGATTAAGCTTTTGCTAGTGTTGTCAGTGCCTGTGATTGATAGCGGGGGTAAGAGCTCAACCCAGTTCAATGTCCCAGCTTCAAAAAGCAAGAGAAATAACAAGTCCGGCCCGTGTCGTCGCAACACATACACACGCGCACACTGAGGCAAGGCAACAGTCGTTTCCTAGTTACAGGGTTGAATAGGAACACCATGGCCACAACATTGGTAGTAGTGGTTCATGGGACCATTGATGTCTCAAGTGGCTCGTTCTGTCGGAAGAGAATCAGTGCATATTTATGAGCACAGCCTTGCGGTTGAAGGCAGTGTCCATGTATCATGAAGAGCATATTCTTCCTCTCTTTCTCTCGGATCCATTTTTGCATGCTCAAATCCATACAAAGTGGATCTCATCGATTCTCTGTATCGGGTTGCTTTCCATCTCCCCACCCAATAATTCCAAAACCATGTCCTTCCCCAAACCTACAAACAGCGACTCTTCTTCTTGTCATTTCATGGAGCGCCCTCTCTCTCTCTCACTCTCTCTCACACATACACACACACACACACACACACAAAAACCATCCCCTCACATTATTGTACTGTAGAATTTATGCATTTCTCCGGCAAGCAGCCCTAAGAGATTACACTTGTCCCATGCACAGTGCGAGTCGCAATCAATCGCGTTGAAAAACCCTCTTGAGAAGTGGCAGCTTCGTGGCTCAAGTAGACAGACACACCTGCCTAATAATATTCCATAATCATGCTTTTCTTGGCAAATAATTCTTCCGCCTGTCGTATTCTCTGACTAGGGTTAAGTACATGGAGTTCTGAAAGCAAACTACGAGGAGGTAGTTTATAGATGATGACCTCTTTGATTACTTTCGTATCTAGAGTGGAAACACAGTGAGCCATCATTGCACCATGTCATGCTGTAACAGTAGATTGAATCAAACACAACCAGCCATCATTAAACCCGACAATCATGAGATACGCGAACACCAGCAGATTGAATGACCGGTAGGGAATGAGGATGTAAGAAGGGATGATGACCCACCATACTCCCATCATTGGAAGTGATTCATCATTACACTCCGGAAAGAAAGCTGAGAAATAAAAAAAGAGTTAAGAGAGTCCTTTCTCCATTTTGCTTTTCTACTGCACTTTGTTGCGAGGAAGCTAAAACCATGATAAAGATCCTGGAACTTCCGAACTTGGGACTGAGCAGAATCTGAGCGGATCATTCACACATGACCACACATTCGGTAGCGTGGAAGATCGATCAACATCCAACCCTTCAAATCGACACATACCCGTTTCGAAGTTTCCGTCACTTAATGAATCGATGATTGCAAATGCAACTCATCGACTTCGAACACCGTTTGAACTTTTTAGAAAAAAACGATGGGCGCACTTTAGTATATAAATGCCACTCTTCTCCCTTTTTATCTAGCGCGAGTTTCGTCGAACTGTCCAAATAGAATAATTGGGCATATAGCCAGATAGTATATAGTTCCGTCGTATCGGTATGTAGGAAAAACCTCACATTGTGGTAGAAACAAAAACGATCAATAGCGACCAGAGAAGCACAGAAGTCTCGAGCGCATGATTTGTGGCGAAAGATTTTGAAGAGAGCGAAGCAAATCATAGCAGAAGCTTCTTTGTCCTTATTCCAGAACGACCGTCGCTAAAGGCTATTTCTTGATTGTTTAAGAGAAAAGATGTCACAGTTTCTGGTCCCAGAACAGCTGTATGGTCGGACTCATCTCACAGTCGGGGTAAGCTCTCTCTCTTTCTCTAAATTGCTCCATTTTACCTGACTTTCTCTCTTACTAATGGCCAAAAAATAATAAAAACCCTTGTCTATTATCAAATTAAAACCCAACTTTTATGGAAAGAAAAACTTCAAAAGTATACAATCGGATGACAAGCACTGTGTCCTAATCAAATGAATGGCGGTGCCCTTTTTCTTTACGAAAAGATGAAATGACATGCAAGCACGCATTTGTCCTGTTCAGTTTTGGACACATTTTGAATCCTCTTGATTGCTTTCGCTTTGAGCTTATTCAACCCTCAAATCTGCAGTTCGAAGTGCCGTGCCCGTCGCAAATGCAACAGCAAGATGATCAAGAATACTATTAATACGCACATTGGAGAAGAAAACTAGGTACCCAATAATCTATAAATGAGTCCGACCGTCTTCACGTTAATCGTTTTGATAATAACGAGGTAATAGATAAGCTTTGCCAAACATGATGCCAGAAGCAAAACGCCCGACATTAGGAGAGTGGAGTCAACAGATGTACCATGTGTCAAAACAGTATTTAGGCCAATCATATAAGTCTAATTAACAAACTAATCCATCCTCGAGTTTTTAATCCCAACTAGGTTAATCGAATAAGACAGAAAATTAGGTGAAAACCAAACGACTCTGCTCTTTCTTTTTTGTGCTGGGCTAGTTGTGGGAGGGGGACATAGGTGAGATCGAACCCCAGTTCTGAAGCTTGGGATAGGATTGGCTCTAGAATTTCATGGTACATTTATATGTCCATGAATTCAGCCGAAACGTTCAATTAGTCAGTGAATACATACATACATATATTTGGTATTGTACTAATGTGATATCTTCATCTAGTACAATAAATTAAGTATGCATTAGATTAGATAGAAGCAAGCCATTCGCGCTGAAGCTATAACGTTAGTGAGAAATCAATATCTTATGT